AAGAGTGATTTGTCATTTTTGCTGTATGTCTTACTTGTTTTCTACAAGTAATGTGCCCTTGCATTACTTGAATTGAAAAAAAAAAAAAAAAAGACTGTAAACCCTTTCTGCAGCCGGAAGAATGATGGAAATTAGAATTACTTTTTACATAATCCCCTCGCATTTTGCTTGTGGATACAGCTGTGTTAACACAATGCAACATTTGAGTTGAGAGATCTGCCAGATCCTGGCACCAGTGATAGTTTGCAGACTGAAGGTCTTATTTGATAGATTTTCCAAGTGATACTGTGCTCAGTTGTATCTATGTTCCTGGAAGGAGGCTTGCAGTCAGCTTCTCAGAGGAAATACTTTCAAAAGGAAAAGTTTAATTTTGCCAAGATTCAGATAAGGTCAGAGTAATTGGACAAACCAGAGCTTTGTAGGTTAGAGATGAGCACAGCCTGCTCCCTGGGACTGGCAAATGCACTAGGAGAACAGGAAAATGAACTGCATGAGGATGATTACATTTGCTGAAAATCTGAAGAACTGTGTGTATCTCTTGGCATATTATCAAGTGTAGAGTTGCATTTGAGCAGGGTGGGGTTTTTCTACTTTTTAAAATTAAGTAAAATGTATTTCTTTTTCCTGTTTCTGGTTTCTACTTTAACCCACCAGAAAATGGATTCGCCAAATTAATTCTAGTTGTTTTAATACTATGTATTTATAAATTGCTATAAAAATTGATTGTAATATGATGCTAATTCACCATAGGTTTTACAAGTGCATCTGTAGTGGTTTCTACATAGCTTCCATGCTTTTCTGTTATGGGGCAGTAGGGATTGTATTCCAACTGTACCCCACTGCTGGCCAAGGGAATGCTCTGACAGGTAGCATCCAGCATTGGCTTCTGACATCAGCTGACCTTTGCCAGCTTATACTTAAGATCTGGACTGATAATTTTCTCCTGTGTTTTCTTGGCTGCAGAACAGTAAAACCATTTCTTAATTTGCCTGAGGTAGTTTCTGGGAGAGTCTGTGCTCAGTGATTTGCACAGCCTTTACAGGTAGAGAATGAAAGAGGACAGACCAAGTTACTTCAGTGGGGTAACTCACATTTAAAATACAGAAAACAAAAAAAGTGATAATTCTGTGGGCTAGCCAGCAGAAGGAAAGCTGCAGATCTCTTCCTTCAGTGGTGGCATACATGGAGTCTCTTCCTGCTATCTTTTTGTCTCTGTTAGAGTCTTTCCTTATTCTGGTCTTGTTAGGCTGGCTAAAAGATCAAAAATCCTAGTTAGGAACTAAGGAATAGGAAGCTAGTGCAGTTGGATAGCCTTGACTCCTTAGGAAAGAGAAGAGGTGAGATTGTGGGAGGATTGTGGGCAGGGACTTGTACAAATTGCTGTGGCTGAGCTCGGGGGAGGCGTACAGACAGACTGTCTCATCTTTCTTTGCTTGGACTTTGGGCTAAAGAAAATGGGATGTTTTGCTTTGTAAAAGCAGGATTGGAATGAGAGGATTAAAGGGAAGGATCCTGAGAAGTCCAGTGAGATGGTCATTGGCTCTAATATAGTTAAATATAAGAACATACAAAAAGATCCAAATAAAATTGCAGTAGAGGGAGTAAAGTAGGAGCTGTTTTGATGAGGAGTCAGAAGTCAGATTGCATACAGGCATGTGAAAGGTGCTCTGGCATTCCTGTGTGAATGAAAACCAGCAGGAGAAGGGAATGGAAGAAAGATAAAATGGGACCTGTTTTTTTGAAGCATACAGCTTGCATGGGCACGAACATCCATGCGGTAGCATTGGACTTGAGGGAAGTGTGCCAAGCAGACAGATCATGCCTTCTCCCTGCCCTGTCTTGTTGGTCGCACACAGGAGCTCTGTCCTGGATGTGGGGAGCTGCAGGAAGGCAGTGCTGTGGGTAGGGAGTGTCTGGCACCAGCTGCCCACAGAGAGCTGGGACAAAGCCCTGGGGCACAGAGGAGGCTTCCCTCCAAATGGCCTGGCAAAAGGCCACGTGGATTACACAGTGAGCTGGCTCCTGCAGCCTGGTGACATTTCCAGGTGGGTTTTTGGGCAGGCTGCACCTGGGCAGAGTCTGGGTGAATCTGCCTCGGTGCCTGGAACACAGGAGGAGGAGAAAAACCTTCTCTCCAGTAAGTGCAGGAGATGGCATGCTTTGCTGACTTGCTCCACCTAGCTTGACAATCAGAGGACTTTGTTCTGACAGCCTCATACAGTCCAAGTGCAACAAGGACGACTTCAGAGCAGTGGTTTTCCAGCCTGTCTTAGATCTGAGTAAGCATCAGATGTGCACAGCTATGTAGAGAAATGAAGCCTCCTTGACAGTAGGTTTGTTTTTCTGCATGATATGGAAATACCTCTCAGCTCTGAGGTAGGAGCCTGCCCTCAGGTTTTGGGGTGTTGCACCCAGCCTGGCTGTCCGTTTTACCAGCAAGCCCTAGTATCTTTTTGTGTTATTGGATGGTGAAAAAGAAGTATCTGCACCAAAAGAACCCTTCCCAGCAAACACAAAGAAGACCAGCAGTGTTTCCTGTTGTGCTGATTTTAGTCAGGAATACTAAAACCCACTCAAACATGAAAAATTATTTAGGTTACCCTAAATTAATTTGAAATTATGTTGTAACCATGAAAGGTGGTAGGGATTGATTCACTGGCTGTGTGGAACTGGAAAGAGCTCAGCTGAGGCTCAAAGTTAAGATCCTACAGATAGCAGTAATGTTGCAAAACAGTGACAATATAGAAGTTATGAAGAAGTTTGGAGCTCCAGAAGCTCTTACAAGTGAAATAAGCAGTGGTTTTATTTGAAGCTTTCTTCTGCTGTAGTCATACCACTCTTTGAAGGGCAAAAACTGTGTGTGTGTTTTCCTTCCTCTGTGGAGAACGAAAAAATACCAGCATGGTCTTGTTTTGGTGATGGGATTGCATGCAGACATCCTTGTGGTTAAAGTAAAAAAAAAAAAAGAAAACCCATGAGATTTCCTGTGCAGGGGTTGTTGTTTGCAAATGGAGTGATTAAATACTGAGACTAGAGATGTACAGACAACTGCAGGATCTTGCTCATAACCCTCTAATGTAACTCCTTAACACTCTCAGGTGAAAATCTTCTTTCCAGAATTGATCTAAAGATTTTTTTTTAAATATAATTTCTTATGCTCCCTTCTTACAGAGGGAAGCAGCTGCTCTGTACCCTTGTATATGTGGCAAACGAGGAGACAGCTTAAGTTATTTAATAGCACCTGCAAAACACCTGCTGAACATCATCTCTTGTGGGATTACTGCAGACAAGTTATTTAAGCACACTTCTAGGTGAATAAACACACTTCACAATTCTTTAGTGCTTCACCAGGAGTGTATCCTTTAAATATACTGATTTTGGAAGAAAGTGGGAACTTTTTTTTTTTTCCTCAGCACTCTTTTTTGTCTTCTCTAGCTCATCCCCTGGTGTTTGGTTTTCACAACAGTGCAGAATTCAAGATTTTACTTTCAGCCTTCAAAGTCTGCAAACCCTGCCAGGAAAACCAGCAGGTTGCTGAGCCTCCTGGCATGTCTGCTTTTTGACCAGAATGCAAGTGGAAAAATGTAACCTAGTGCTCTTGTGGTGGGATCTCTGGAACAAGGCGAGCTATTTAAAGCTTCTGCAACATGTTAAAACTAAAATGTTTCTTTTCTCCTGCTTGTACCTCTCTGTTTTCTCAAGTACTTTTGCTTGCCAGGGTTTTTTATTTAATCCTTCTGCCTTGGTCTTCTTTACCCGTGTCAATTCTTTCTCATAAGGCATTAGAGGGAAGCAGAAGCATTCATGTGTTTGGTGTGGGGATCTGTCAGATTTGGGGTTTTACCTGTCACCATTCTCTGTCCCAGCTGCTTTGTTCTGCTCTGTCTCCCTCTGCAGCCACACCACTAAGCTTGGTTTTCACTGCTGCTGACAGCCTTTCATTTTAATTTCTGCTTGTATCAAATCAAAAGCTGTGTCTCTACTCTGTAATTGTTTGCATTTGTATTATTTGCCCCTTCTGGTAGCTGCAACTTCCAACATAACTCCCTGCTATGTGGTTGGAAAACGTGTGTGCAAGGAGAAAGGCTGTTTAAATACAGTTACAGCTCACCTGTAAAAATCCTAGGATGACATCTTAGCCATGGAACTGAATCCTGCTTAGTTCCGAAGCTGATTCACAAATTAATTGGTTGTGACTTTAGAGGAACTCTGCTGTTCTACTTTCAGATGGAGATCACAGAAGCTGATTGGCAAATTACTGGTGTGAGTTGGTTGTGACTTTAGAGGAACTCTGCTGTTCTACTTTCAGATGGAGATCACCCTCTTGATATTCCTCATATGATGGATGCATTAATGTATTATCCTGGGTGTTGAACTGTTAGTTCAGTTTACCTGGTAGCTGAAAATGCCACTTCTTCCTAAATTCATCTTCAGCTCCTGACTTGAGTATGACTCAGTTGCATTTTAGAGATATGAAGCAGCATTTTTTGGGGGGTGTTAGGGCTTTTTGTTGTTGCTGTTTGTTGGTTTTTACTTTAATGGTAGAGTGTTTTCTCCCTTGTGGGTGATTTTAAACTGTTTTTTTCCCCCTCCTGATAAGTCCTGCTAATACTGTAATATTTGAGAGTGGATTGTAATGACATCTAACATTTTGTTCTGTTTGTACTGCAGACTGAGGTCAAGTAAACAAAGAAAGCAATCATTATGTTTTAGCATTCTTTTTTAATGAGCACATTAAAATCTAGTCACAGCTACAGGATCAGCTGTGAAAAAGAAGGGAGAGATACTGAACTCTGAGTAGCACTGTATTTTTGAAGCAGTTTATTGAAAAATAATGGACTGAGGGGATATGTAAGGACTCTGGTAGGAAATAAATGGCACGATGTTGTTGACGGAAAGGGTTTGGCAGAAGGCTTGTTGTGACTGTTTCTGTGGCTTAGAATTGCAGAGGAATTTCCTACAGGCTGGACTAACCCTTCCAAACATGTGTCTGCTTTTAGGAGATCAAGGCATACAGTGGAGTCTTCTCAGGGAAGATGTCGTCTTTGACAATGAGAACTCGTTGTGTGGACAAAAGAGGAAGTTTCTTTAAGGTAAATGGGATACTTACACAGAACAAAAAGTATTTCACATTTTATGTGAAATGAGTGCAGCAGAATGTGCAGTACTCTCTGTGATACATAGTAAGCCTTTTCTGTAAAACAGGAAGTACTTCTTGAGCATTTCTTTTTACAGGCAGATTTGTGGCTGGATCACCCCCCAGTTATTTCACATGTATATTTTTTCTGTACGTGGAAAGAGGGGAATATTTGGTGTAAAATAGGTCATGGCTTTCTTTGCTGCTAGTGCTGAAAACATAAGCTTTATTGTGGACAGGCATAAAATTACTTGAGCCTTCATAAACTGAATTTGTGTCACTTAAAGTTGCGCTACAGATTTATGATTTCCATTACTGGATTGAAAATTGGTTTCATTTCCTTGCCTATTTTGAGAACAACTGGCATCCCAAAAAGCCAGGCTGCAGTAGGAGTTACCAGAGCAGTTTTGAAAAGATGATGTGCCAGGGTCACAGTGTCTGCCTTGCTGGGCAGGGTTTTGCTTTAGGGAGCCATCAAAATTTACAAGTGCTTTTGGGCACTGAATTAAGCAATCACATCCCTTAGACTATTCATCACTTCCTGTAGCTTCTTCCAGTGAAAGATGCTAACGCTGCTGTCTTGGGGTGTTGCTGTTTCCATTCCTTCTCTTCCTCTGGGGCAGAAGTTTCCCTTGGGGAAATCTTTAGGAAATGAATGATCAATGCTGCAATGACATCGTGTTTTCCTTTGTCTTGCCCAGCAATTACCAAGGTCATCCAGTGACTGGGAACCATCTCTCAGTTCTGCAACACACTCCAGCTACCTCTCATAACTCAGGAGTACAAACATCAGCCTTGTTGATAGCACGCCACAGCCAAATAGGGAGAACAGCCTTACTTTCCAAATCACAGCAAGGAACTGTCTCAGTTCCAAGAAATATCTCTAGGTTGTCTCTTGCATGTATGCTGAAGGACTCCTGATGTCAGATGGGACTGTAAGCAAGCACCCAGTCATTTTCTGCAGTCCTTTGGGATCTCCTTATGTAATTCTTATGTAGAAAATAGATGCTGGAACAGCTGTTTTATTCATGATTGTGGGGTTGCAGTTACTCTAAATGATTAGAAATGCAGTCTGCAGTTTGCCTGGGCAATTTCAAGAAATATTGTCAGTTAGAAAACTTAAGGTCCTACATTTTCTTAAGGACATGCTGGCAGGGAAGAAGATGCCTCCAAGGTACTTTTCCAGACCTCTCACCATTCCTGGGAAGTTGCACTGTTGGACCGTGGTTCTGAGCCCAGAGTGTGGGATTGGAAGCTGCAGGCAGTCAGTGTGCCCAGCCTGTGTGCAGTGCACCTGGTAGCTTGTGTGTGTACAGTGAAATTACCTTTGATTTCCTCCCTCCACCATGCGAGCAGAATTGTGACAGCATTTACATTTGTTTGCTACAGCTGAGCTGATGAGCAAGCAAAATACTTGGCACATGAGATTTTTTGAGTTTGCATTATTTTCATTTGCTTTGTCTGTGTTTAGGAGACCTAGTAATCAAGATATGGTCTTTTATCCCTGCTGATCTGTTCTTCAGTGTGCTCTCCCTCATGGGCAGACTGTCCCCTGTACTTGCACATGGCTCTCACGTTGTACTTGTTAATTTGAAGTTGCCTGAGAAACCTTTACCATGTTGGTGTGCAGATTCTCAGGGCACTTAAATCTTTTTAAGGGAGTATCTTACCATTCTCAGCAACATTTGCCAAAAAAATCGCTGACAAATACCAGTTGGGAAATTCCAACTTTATCTTTTCTTTTCTGGTTCGTAAGTAGTTCTCATTGCTACAGCTTCTAACCATCTCTTAGTTTTTTTTTCACAGCCATTCTTTTGACTGTAGCACACAAGGAAAACAGGTATTGTCCCCATTTTAGACAGGGCAGAAGTCTGTAGTTTTAGAGGCTAAATTCTGTGGACTCTACACCTTGTGATTGGTGAATGCTCAGAGCCAGCTAGTAGTAAGAATGAGGCAGTGATGGGGTTAGTCTTGGATAATTCTGGGGCTGAATAGCTTGCCAGAGGTTACAGAGAGAGTCTGTGGTAAGGCAAGGGGCTGAATATATGTCTCTGACAAATGTCCTCTTCACTGAATTATCCTCCTTCTCATCAAAGTGTTCCAGTGTTTACTGAACTGGCACCAGAGGTTTTACACCAGTAAGGCTTTTCAGTTCCAAAATCAAGCATCAGGTAATACTTTGTTTCTGATGAATAAGATACTGAACAACGTCAGTGGCCGTGAGAATTCATAGCTCACCAGAATCTGCAGACGTGTATCAAAATATTGGATTGTATTCAGAGGCGTGCAGAAGCTCAGAAGCAGCGTTCTCAGATGGGCTCGTCTCTGGCACTTGGCCACCTCATCACACAGGGCCCTCTGTGAGGGCTGCTACGTTCTGCTTATCAAAACAGGAAGGAAAAGATGTGATGCCAAAGAGGATGCAGGTCTCCAGAAAGAATGAAAAATGAGATGCTGGCAGGAAGGGGGAGTGGTAAGTGCTGAGGCTCATTTGTCCAGTCTGATTCTAATCTCGCTGTCTGCAGCCCGTGTCCCCTGGCAGATTAGAAGCACCCATTTTACCTTTTCCTCTTGAGTTCTTGTATCTCAGGGCTTGGAAACATTCTGCAGTGGTCATCTTGGCTGACTCTTTTAGTGCCTTCTCAGAATGATGGCAGTTTTGTTAGTTCTCTGTACAAGCTTATTTATATTTCAACACAAAGAACAGGAATTCAGTTGTCACGCAGTTTTTTCTAAAAATGTCTGGGAACAGACATCAAGTCAAAGTCACCTGTCTTCTTCTTGGGAACAGGAAACTCTTCAAGTCAAGTGAGTAATAGGAGCTGTAGTTATGCTGGGCTTCTGGGAGAGGCCCTGTCTATATCAGGTCCTGGCCATGTGCTTTCTTTCCCTGATGGACGGCAGTGATGTGTCAATAGAGCAGCTTCACAAATGTGACTGGAGCCCCTTGGGAGCGACTTGCTTCTGGTGAGCACTGACTTTTGCTGCTTGTAAAACATCCTGAACGATGCAAAACAAAGTAGATGTTATGGTGAGAGAATGCTGGCCTGCTGAGGTGCCACGTCTGTGGGCTGTGTGTAGGAGTTTCACTGTCACCCTTGCCAGCTCCCAAAAGCTGAGCTCAGTCTTGTTCAGCTCCGAATCAATTGACAGTAAGCAGAGTGTGGTGGGTTATGAAAGGAAATGCTGTGGTTTAAGATGTTTGCATTTTATCATTTCATTCATGGATGTTAGGAATGTAAACAGTTAGTGCATGGGAATTTGGCAATCTAATGTTTAGGATAGATTTGGTTAGGCAATACTGTACTGGGCTGCTGTGTGAATTCATGTTGTCTGAGTCATAATTATTATTTGGGTTTACAGTGGTTATACTGTAGTGTCTTTTGAATTTACAGAACAGTGCTTTATCAGAAGTAAGTTCCAAAGGAAAAATCCTTGTGCACAAAAATAGCTATTTTATAATGTTATATAAGATCTCATTTTGTTTTTTATGAAATACTGATTAATTAACTGCCTGAGAAGGTGTCATATTTCCAAATACATTTTCCAGGTAAACCTTCTCTGTCAGTAGCATAGTAGGATAATATCTATTTCACAGACCTAAACAGTCCCCACCAGATTTCTTCTGATTACTATTTAAGTCTTTGGGCTCATGTATGCTGTTCTGCACTAACAGAGGCCTCTGACAAATGTATACATCCACTTCTGTTGCATTTTCCTTTGGAAGTTGCCTTTTACCCTGTTGATTTCAAGTCTGTTGAAACAAGGGGCTGGGTTTTCCCATTATTTCCAGCCAATTTCCATACTTGTTGCAAATAGAACAGTCTCTTTGAAGAATTCCAATAATCTTAGCCTTGCACTTAAAAGGCAGAGCCTTTTGCTACTGCTTGTTTCCTCAGGGCTTGAGCTAATAATAGTACATACCCAGGATCTTTCCTGTGTTTTGTAGAAACATGTTATTAACAGCTCATCTTGTATGATGCTAGTCACATGTGCATCACGTGTGCTGTATAATCACCAGAAGTTTCATTGATCCTAAATACTGGGAAATGCTGTCATAAAATTATGACTATACTTTGCATTTTTTGTTAGAAAAATGCTGTTGTAACAGGATGTGTCAGTTAATTGCAAGGATACACAAATGATGCAACTCCGTAAGATTTTCTTTTCTTAAATCAAGGGAAGAGCAATTTTTTTTTTGTCATTAAAGAGAATTTAAGGAAAATTAGTTGGAAATTGCAGAAAATATTGGTGGTTTATTCTAGAAAAAAAAAAAAAAGAGGGGTTTTGCAGGTCAGTTTGGGGTTTGATGCCACATTTGACCTGGTTTCCTTGTCCAGAGTGTATTGACTTTTCAGAGACTAAGGCTGATTTGTCATGGAGGCTATGTAGCATACCCAAGAAATTCAGCCTGTAGAATAGAATGTGAGCATAAGGCTGCTTGAAACATGCCATTTTGTTTAAGTCCTCTTTAGAATAAGAAGCAAAGTTGCTAAACCTGGAAGACTTCCTCTCAGGAATAATTTCTGCAGAGTTCTCTTCGAGGCAGGCATACAAATTCAGAAGCATTAAGATTATTTCGCTGTTAGCACAGTTTCGATGAGAGTTCTTTGCTGCAGTGCCCTGAGATTTCTGGGAGGGAGGTGGGTTTTGTCACAGCTCAGGTCAAAGCCTGCTAACAGAGTTAACTCAATTGCCAGCCAGGTAATGGCACAGCAAAGCAGGCATGGAGGAGGTGGCTGAAAATACGTGGAGCTCATACTTTGTATGCTTTGAGGGAGAGGTGCTGAAAAGCTCCTTTGTTGTGCACACTGTTGGCATTGGAGACACTTAAGTCTCTGTGGATGTGTCAGAGAACAGGGCACTGTGATGGCTCTTTATGGCCACAGTTGATCTTACTGTGATATTGTGTTGATGCTGCCCATGAAGAGGAGCTCCTTGTGCAGAGATTGATGGGGAGTGGCAGCTCAGCTTTCATGCAGCGGCCAGCTGAAGCAGCTTTGCAAGGGTGCTTTGCTGGCAGTGCAGAAATTCAGCCCCCTCTGGCTGCTCCCTGAGGCTGGCCTGTGTTCCTCGGGTTGCCCCTTGGGACGGTCAGGGAGGCATTGCTCACATCAGTCTGCAGTGACTCAGGGTTGTTTGGGAATCAGCGGGTGGAATGTCTTGGCAGTGTCAATGGTACACGTGGCTGCTGTCACCGAAACTACGGGAAAAACAAAAACTCTCCAACAGCAATCTTTAGTGCTAGAGAAGTAAGGCATTACTTTGTTCTTGCCAGGATGTTGTTCTGGCCAGGATGTGCAGCAGAAACCAGTTCATCCACACATTGCCCTGGTTATGCAGAGAAACTCATTCCATCACACAAGTCGTTGTTAGATCTTTCACATTTGTCAAAACCCAGAGAAATTCATTGGTTCAATGTTTGCTGCTCCCAAGGTTTTAGTATTTGGTTTCCTATTGGTTATTGGTTTGCCTTTAATGTTGATTAGTTTCTCATTCTTCATTCTCTTGTCTATCTCTTCCCAGACCAGGAGTCTTGGACCATGCCAGGGGGGATGTTTGGAGTTGACATTCGTTAATGGTTGTTATCTCTTGTGTATCTTCTTTTTTCTGTGCTGCTCCCAGTCTGCTGAGATGTTAAGCTCATCAGACCTGGAGTGGTGGAACAGTCCTTTGAAAAGAAACTTCAATTCATTTCCCCCTGGGTAAAGGCAATCAAAACGCCTGACTAAAGTTATATTAAAAAATGCTAAACTTCATATAATTTCCAGCACTGGGAACTATGACTTGGACAGAAGAAAAATCCTTGGGGTGTGGGTAATGGTAATTCATTCTTTCATAAGGTTCATTTATTGGAGTTGGCCAGTTGTAAGCAGAGACTAAAACTTCTTTTGAATTGATTGGAATAATGGTGCTCATCGAAGGAGAGAGTGAATTTCTCAGGCGGAGGAAAAATTCCAATATAACAATTTAGGAAAGTGATGCCTGCAATTCTTTGAAAATGCTGCTGCACTGAATTGCCTGCCCTGAGTGGGACTCAGGCTCATACCTTCAGGACAGCTGTGAAGAGTGTTCTCACTTGGACACCAAAGCTGGTTTTGCTTCATAAGCCAGGGTTTTTGTTTGTTCTGATGTGCAGGGGTGGTGGTGGCGATCGCTGCATCACTGCAAACCTTTTTTTAGGTTCCCTCCTGGCAGGAGAGGTGGAACCCTGCTGGGGTTTATAGGCTGGCGTGGTATGGCATGATGAGCAAACTTGATGCATTGGCTGTAAAGAAGTGTTCAAGAGAGCAGGCTTTGAAAATTTCATGGTTGGTTTCTGCTCAACAAAATGTTTCCCTAAAGTCTGGCTAGCAGATTCTGCGTTTCTCAGGATACAACCTTAGTGCTAATCTTACCTACATTAAAATGAGTTTTTGCTCTCATACCCAGAATTAGATTGGTGTTCTACCTAAGCTGAAGGATTGCAAGGCAATTCTTTTTTAATTGAATTGTTGTGTTCAAGTGGAGGCCAAAACCTAATGTGAAAAGCAGCCACCCACTCCCTTCTTGCTCCCTTCTTGCTTCATTATAAAATTGCCTCCACAGTATCGTAATGCTGGCTTAGTGTCCCTTCTGAAATAAAACTCCTGCATGTGGATTTCTTCTAATTTTTTTATTTTTGAGAAGGTAAATGCTATGAACAGCTAAATAATTTCGTTCTTGTAAAATGTATAATGCACAGAGGCTGCAAATTTATTCCATTTAAATGAAAAAGCTAGCCAAACTGGAAGGTTTTGTACTGGCACAAAACAGGAATTACTCTTCCTCTGAGAACCTTTATACGTGGCCCCAACCCTTACTTGTTCCTTTGCGAGGGGAAGTCCAGATAGGATGCGATTTTACAAAAAAAGAAAAAGTTTGTAATCTCTGGTGACTAAACTTGCCCTGGCTTCTTTTCCACGCCTCTTCCACTCACTTGATGTCATACTATTTTTGTCCCTTTCTAGCTCATTGACACAATTGCCTCAGAAATCGGAGAACTGAAACAGGAGATGGTACAGACAGATCTCACAGTGGAAGATGAATCTGCTGATTGGCAAAGGTGATTAAAATGTTTATTTTCATGGTTCTGGAGAGTCTACCACAACAGGAATGTTTTCATTGTGCTTTCTTCTTGGGTGGCTTATGTCCTAGCACTTTTCTCCCTGGCAGCATAGGAGGTGTAGATAATCTTACTCTTGATCCAAGGAATTTGCCTTTATGCAGGAGATTCATTGTTTGGTGTATTTGCCTTAATATCTTCTAATTGCAACTGAGCTTCACTTCCTTGTTAAAAACCTTGGGTACTGATGAATGTCTAAAGCAGGAAACTGCTACCATTATTACCATTGTCTGTGGCACAGCTTTGCTTTCATGCTGTAAAGACAAAATGTCCATTGCTTCATGTGGCTCTTTGAAGACTCAAGGTGCAATCACATGACTTATTTATGCTGTCAGGTTAGGAAGTAAAATATTGAATGCTATGAGCTGATGCATATGTGGGTTATGTGTTTAAGTTAATTTATATATGAGTAACTTGCACATAAAAAAAAAATAAAATTGTACCTTTAAGTGGGCAGAATGGGAGCCCAGCATTTTGGCTTTTCTTGAACAGTTACATCTGCTAAACATCTGGAGGATAATCAATATTTTAGGCCTTGTGTTAAGAAGAGAACACATTTTTGTACTTACCTGAAATATTTGTTGCAAGAGGAAAGCAACCAATGGTAGGTGTTGTGTTTTATCTGACTGCATGGTCTTGGCCAGCCCTGGAGCTGGTGGACTTTGTTCTTCTAGCAGTGAGTTAATGAAGTGGAAAACTGTTTTTAGAATTATATCCAAGATTTTTAGCTCTTTTTCTTCCAGTGAATTCTATTGAAATCTGCTAGAACTTAAAACAAAGCATATGTAGATTATTTTCAAAAACATTAAGCAGCAGCTTTGTTGGCCAAGTAGCAAAGAATGTAAGACAGTTGAACTAATTAAAGTTCTTGGCTATGGCCGTGGTTGAACATTACTCCAGTTTTAAAGCTTTTGAGAACACAGTTCTTTTAGAGGGGCAGAAAGGACACTTTCTTCATTTTGTGAATTCAGCTAATTAACTTCAGCTACTTTTCGGTTAAGAAGATGCTTCTTATATCTTTGAATACATCATATTCATGAAAGACTAAGGTCTACTGATTCTAAAATCTTGGTGGGAGCACTTAGCTGGAACAGACAACTAAACCTCCCCATTTTACAGATCATGAGTTTTCTTTCTATTGATTTTTTAAATGGATTTTCAATCTTAATTTGTTCGTCTTGACTGCAAAACATATTTTGGTTTAAGATATGTAAGTAAACCTGTCATAAAAAAGTGAATAATGCAATTTCCATGAAAAATAATAATAGCCATCAAAAAGTTATTTTATGTCACTTCAAGATGATAATGTGAGATATGAAATCTGAATAAATGAGCTAAAGTCAAACCTACTATGACTACAAAATTTGGAACTGCATGCTGCTATGTAAGGAAGAAGTTGTATCAAAGTTGGTGAGTTAAGTAATGTAGTTGTGCACTGACACCTTTTTTTTTATATATAGTGGTACAGAGCAAGATTATAGTAATTTCAACAAGAGCTTTCCAGAGTTCTTGTTTAAACTAGACACCTCACAAGGCTGTGTTTACTGTCATAACTTTATTTCTTCGTAGTTAATTTAAAACTTGGCAGTTAATGGAGTTTTCTTATTGCTTTTTGCTGTTCAGAAGTTGGTGTCTTGATAGGACCTTTGGATTTGCATCTAGGGATATTTGAGCTCAATGGAATGTCTATTTTCTTTGCTCTTTTTCCACCTTAGCAGGTATCCACAAACACCCAGAGCAGTTCTGGAAAGGCAGGCATTGCAGAGCTCTTGGCTGAATTCAGAAAGATAAGGACATGAAATTGTGTGTCTGCAGCCTTAGTATTGTGGTTTGGGTTTTTTTTTTGTGGTTATGTGGTGACTTTCAGATTTATACTCCTCATCTTATATACTCCTTTCTTTTGGGCTCATTTCTCCTTTTCATACAGTATGGCCCAAGTAATATCAAGAATGAATCAAGGGTGCACTTTGGCTTGTAAATATGTAAAAGCCAGGCAAAAAAAAAAAAAAAAAAAAAAAAAAAAAAAAAAAAAAAAAAGGCTTCCAAAAATGTGTTTTAAGAGGGACTGTTTCAGTATCCCACTTTTTTGATGCCTCACCTTTTTTTGCAGTGCAGACAAATTCAAATGAGAGGAGTTGTCAGAAAAGGCAATTAGTGGGACAGATTTCTGTCATGCCATTCCGGTGACCTTTGAAAGAGTAACAAGAGAGCTTCTGCATGCAGTGGCAGCCCAGGAGCATGTGGGACAGGTCTGGTGGCACCTGGATGATCTTTTAGGAGGCTCCAGGCCCTTGCACGTCTGTGTGGATGTCCGTGAGGGGCCAGCGCTTCCTGCTGTCCTTCTGGAGGGAAGGCTGTAAAGCTCCAGGTTTCGCAGGGCACTTGGTGCCTGTGGAATCGTTCAGGGATGCTTTGCTGGTGGTGGCAGCTGCAGCAGCTTATTCCCTTCCTGTTCTGTTGCCGTGGAAGGAACAGGGCAGAGCTTTGCTCCCTGCCTTAGGTCCTGCACTGCGCAGCCCTCAAGCTGCTGTCTTTTCCACAGCAGTTACTCGCTTCACTAGAGCCATCTTCTGTCCAGCACAGAGAACCATTTCTGTTACTGCTGACAGGTTGGCAAGTATCCAGAAACCTTCTTCCCAGCTGCCTTGCCTTGTCCTTTTAGCTGTAATGGGATGCAGGAGGAAGTCACCAGTGGCTCTCTGCCTCTCCCAGCTGATGCTCAGTATGACTGTATAGACTGGGCTGGGGTGATTAGGAGCTGTTAGATTTACAGAAATCCAGGCATTTTGCAGTGGATAGTCAAACTGAGTTAACTGTGAGGTGGGTAACTGTTGTGGGACTGGAGTCAGGTTCACATCATGACCAAGGATCATCCTGGTTAAAAGCTTGAGCCTGATCCTTGTCATTTTTACTGTGAGATAAGTCTAATCAGGATGCAGCACTGCATTGTTTATCTTGGCAATTACCTCTCTGTATGGGTTTGCTCAAATCTAAGGAAACTTGCATGAGTCATGTGTTTTCTTTAGTTCATTGTGAATAGTGTTGAAACCTACCTTTCCCACAGAAGAGGAACTGTGTAGCAGCCTTGAATTAAAGCAGACCATTCATTAAGGCTGATTTGTGTTTAGATTTTGAGTTTAATGTGACCTGGTCAGATTGTCTTTTATAAGGAATCTTTCTTTTTTTCAAAATCCCAAATGAATAACACAAGCCAACCAACCAAACATCCTCCAACCTGAAAGTAAAACCAGGAGAGGAATTTAGTTGTTGCATAATATACATATTTTGTGAGCATATTTTGCTAGCATTTAGGTTACAGCAACTTCTTGTTCTTGTTAGTACACTTGAGTTAATCCATGGCTCATGAATTCAAATGGTTATTCTTTCCATGCAATTGTTTCCAGAGTAGTTACACACATCCCAGTCCCAAATAATTTTAGTCTAACTCTTAACATATAATGAGTTTCAAGAACTCCCATGCGTTGTCAGGGTTTGACTGTATGTCTATTGCTCAGATCATTAATTAAAATTACTTTAAGAAAAAAAAAGCAAACTAGGAATATGATGTTCAGTAGTGCTTGGCCACTGCAAATAGGCTGTCAAAACAGACCAGTGGGGATTTTTTACTGCATTTTCTCCCAGGCCTTGGGAAGTGGCTTCTTGTAGGTTGCATGTGGTTTGCCAGGTGTGTTTTTTCCAAGGTGTGCTTTTTCCAGTGTTTACCAGGTTAGATGTTTCTCTCTGCCTCCTTCTTTATTATTTGGGAATAGGAAATAATTGTTTAAAAGTGTTTTGTATTCCTGTTTACCTCACAACAGATTGCAGTAACATTCTAGCGCTGATTTATCTGAGTTGTGTTGGTGTTGTTTGAACCATTAGTGTTTAGGAGTGGCAGAAATTCTGGTCATGATCAGATATTCATAATCTCTGGCTTATTTCTTGTGGGAGCAGAAGCAGCTGCCCCAAAGAGGTGCCTGTGTATGCAGGTCAGAGAGTTCCCTCCTTGGATCTCAGAATGTGGGAGGGATTGTGCACGTAAGTACCTGGAGGTTTGAAAAACCTGACAGCCCCCCATTCAAGTTTATGGTGGTCTAGGGGGTGTGGGACAGCACAAAGCCAGTCAAACCAAAGAGGAGCATCATGACCCCACGTGCCTGTGCAAACTCTTGCCAGGTTTAGGTGGTTTTGTGGTAGCAGGCAATGCCAGGCATTCTAGCTCATACCAGTCACACACCTTCTTTTGAATGTGAGGTAGCTGTCTTCAGTAAGCAAAAAACTTTTCCCTCTTGGATATATTCCCCCTTGCAGCATGTTAAGCTTTCACCTCCTGACCAAGAGGAGTGGAAATGATTTGTATCTAAGCTTGCAGCCAGCATTGGTGTGTAACTCGTACCTTGCCACAGCTCCCTGTGTTTGTAATGCAGCTAACTGGCACTGAGGGTGAGTGGGAAATTTCTGAGCAATACTTACTGGAGGTACAGCTCAGGAAAATGCTTTTGTGGTTTATGATTTGACTTCTTGGAGATTCATCCATTGTGACACTGGGCTCTGCTGGGACTGGTTGAAAAGGGAACCCAGTATTCCTACTGAGGCAGTTTCAGACCCAGTCTGAATGACTGACGTAAAAAGTACTTCCCTCTTGCACCCACTGTGTTTCTGTGTATTTTGTGTCCCTTGAAGGCATACTGGCAGTTAGTAAAAGCTTCTAATGTTTGTGGGCAGGGGTGGGAAATCACCTGCATTTGAGATACCTTGGAAATCTGAAAAGCATTGCATCACAAGTAAGAAAACAGAGGAAAAAAAATAAAGAGGCAAACGGTGGTAGTGGTAATTGATCCAGGTAACAAAATGTCAAATGATTTTGCCTCCTCTTATCTGATCATACAGTGAAAGTTCTCTTCCCCATTTACTTTCCTTGCTTGCCCTGTGCAGAGATTCTGCAAGTTGCTGAACAAAGCTAGAAGAAAGCAGTTTGATTGTTTGGTATTTTTCTGTTGTTTGGTTGGTGGATTTTAATTTGGTTCAGCTTCTTTTCTTTGGTGTGGGTTTTTTTGCGGGAGGTGGAGAGGCTTTTTGTTTGTTTTGAAAGTAGGCAGTGCTCCTGTGCTTGTGAACTCTGTACTTACTTGCTGAGGGTACAGTAGCTGGCATAGTGAGGATGGTAAATGCTGTTAGTGATGCTTAGGGCTTGTCCAAAGCATGGAATTCAGAAGAACTGCGCAGTGTGCAGTGGGGAAGTGGAGCTGTGTTGTCCTCTGCTGCCCAGGGCCTCTCCTGCTGCAGAAAAGGTCTGTAAGGGGAACACATCCTCTGCTGACAGCTCAGGGAGTCACTGGAGCTTGCAGGGTGCTTTTTGTCTGTTCCTGAATTTTGTCATCAGGAAGCTGTTACCAGAATAGCTGCTCCATAGTGATTTCTAGCATGGGGAGAACCACAGGGTGTGGTTCAAAAATGTGGTTCTAGCTCAAAAATGAGGAATTTGAGCCAGAAACACTACTGGGTGTTCTGTAGTATATGGATGATGGTGAAGCTTTGCATAACAAAAGGAGTTCTCAAAGTATTCTGTTTATTTGCATTTTTAGTAACAAGAATCTGCAGCCCTCAAGAACTCTACTTCTTTACTGAATGTAGCAGTAACTTTAGATGCCCTGCTCCAAATAAATTTTAACCTTACATTACCTTGCCTCATTCACACTTAGCTTAGACTTTATTTTTCACATAGCAGTCAATCCACAGCCAAAGGAATTTGGAGCATGAATATACAATTACTTATTTGTTTCTGATCCTGGGAAGTGTAGTATTAAAATGTGAGGTAAGGACCTTTCATGGCAAAAATGGAAAAAAAAGTAAATATTTACAGAACTTAGGAGTACGATAAGAAGTAACTGCCACTTATGACATTTTTTAAGGAAGCTGTGCCTTAGGGAGGATTATTTTGGGGTTTAACTTTTTTTTTCTTGTTTCTTTCTTGGGTTTCTCATCTCTTTCTCACCTCCTTCCAATCTGACCTCTTAGCAGAGGGGACAAAAGATGGATATGCAGCTGTGGAGGCAGCAGAGCTGCTGGAGCAGAGAGTAGTCTGGACATAAGGTGAAGTGATGCTGGTTTATGGACTTGTGCTGTAAAAATAATCCCTCCAAACAGACAAAGTTCTTGTGTCTGGTGCAGTGATCACCAGGAGGTAGTGGGTTGCTCCATTGTCAGAGTATTGAACAGATTTTTCTGGCAGGCAAGATTTCTGTGGGTTGCAGCATTTGCAATCGATTTGGGAATAAAAGTGTCTGAATTGCATAAATATCCTTGAAGAGAAGTTTTTCCATATATTAGCACAGCAAAGAAGGCAAGTGAGATGTTCTTTCAGTCACATCTGCGCATGCAAATCTACCTGAAGGCTGAATTTCTCCAACCTCACAGAGGAATGCTAAGGCTTATCTTCAAGCTGGCTTTGAATTGAGAACCTTTAAAAGAGAATTTTTGTGTATGCTAAATATAAGAATTGTCAGTAGGAGAAGTACCAGCCCAGAGTGTCAGCAATGCCATGAGCTCTGTGGTAATTCTGTTCTCTGGCTTAAGTGATTGTTCATAGGAGGTTAGCATGTCTAATTTTTTTTTTCTAAATTTTCCACAGTCTAATAAAGGATATGGATGATGTCTCTCCTGAGAAAAATGATGTAAAAAGCTGCCCCCGGGACTCTGGATATGATAGCCTATCCAACAAGCTAAGCATATTGGACAAGCTCCTCCATACTCACCCTGTGTGGCTGCAGCTGGGTCTGAATGATGCTGAAGCCATGGAAATTTTGCGGACACAGCCTCCTGGGGTAAGAAGAATCTCAATTTCTTTAAGGACATGCTTTTCCCAAATGTTATGCTGCCATTTTACACCCAGGTGTTGGACTCAATACAGTAATGACCAAGTAAAATTACAGTATGTTTTAGAGCAGATACCATGAAGTTGTTGTGGTTCCTTTTTGTCTATAATCTGTATTTATTCTGGCATCTGTGCTGAAGCTAATACCATGTCCTGCTGCCTTCCCCACAACAGATATTTCTGGTTAGGAAATCTGCAAGGCTGCAGAAGAAAGTCATCTCTCTGCGTCTGTCCAGCGACTGTGGGTCCTGCCTGAAAGAATTTGCCATTAAAGAAAGTACATACAGTAAGTCGTGAGTTATGTACTTTTCAGCTCTTCCTTAGGTACTTTTTCCCTATAGGATGCAGGAGCATTGGGACTGCTGAAACCCACAGCAGAGGATACCCAAAGTCATGCAAATCATGTCGTGGGCTGCCTGTGCTGGGCTCTGGGAGTGGGTCAGTCATACTCTGCCAGGAGGAGAGCAGACATAGAGAAACACTTCAGACTGCTTCAGCTGGAATGTTTCCATTGTGTACCTTGATGAATCCAGTATTCATTTATTTTTATGGGTAGTTATCCTCTTAGAAACTTACATGTCTTTTGTAGAAACATGGTCTGTAATCCTGTCTGCTTTCAGTGAAATGTCCTTGCATTTCCTTGTATTCAGGGGACTGTTCTTGAATGCAGCTTTGTCATGAGCTCTCTGCAACTGAGGTGTGGGATGGGTTGTTAGGTTTGTTTTTGTTGGTGGTGGGTTTTGTTGTTGGGGTTTTTTGGTTGTTTGTTTTTTTTTTTGTGTGGGATAGCTAAATGGATTTTAACCTGTTAGAACTGTTTCTGTTGCAAGATCAATGGTTTCTCTTTTTAATTCAAAATACATTTGTTCTTTCTTTTTTAGTAGAAATGAGCAAATGTTAATACTCCAAATTTTTTTGAACCAATAATGCCCTCATGTCTTTAGAAGGGAGGGTGTGAAAAATAAGTTTCAGATTTAGGAATGAAAAAAGGAATCTGCAGCTGGTGAGTGTATGTGGTGCTGAAACTGCAAGTGGAGCAAATATTTCATTTTAACAAGAAAGAGAAAACTGAAGAAAATTAGCAAAAGTTACAGTGACTCATCCCTGGAACAAGAGAGTCTATAGTTAACTTCTGTTTCTGTTTGTAAACTGACATAATTTTAGCTGAGTTTTTTCTTTTTTATCTCTTCCCTCCCCTGCACCCAGGAACAAAAAGTTAATTCTATGTGTCTGGTTTTAGTTCCAGTTACAAGCAAGGCAAGGCAAAGAGAAAGTTATCAGTAATAGTTGATGTAAGTGTGGTCTAAGGCTGTGTTTATAGGCTTGTTATAGTAATAAATCCCATCTAGAAAATAATTACATACTGTCTTCTATGAACAAAATTCTTCCACAAGGGGGAAGTATTTACTGATGATTTTAGCCGTTTGTCACAGCTGAGGTTTTAGACCAGAGGCAAAAAATCTGGATTGTTGGACTCTAGGAGCTTCTTCTGCTTGATCTGTGAGATTTGCTGCTGGCATCAGAGAGAGCCTGAGGTGATCATCATTATTATTGAGAGCAAGTATTTGTATCAATAAGGAACAATGGTATCAAGTGGGGAAAAATGAAAGGCACTGCTCCTGTCTTCCTCTTCCCTTGTGCAAGGCAATGGCATGCGACAGCTGTTGGAGTTTTTTTAGGGTTTTCAGGTTAAAAGGTTTTCTTGGAATGAATGAAACTTTATCTCCCTTTAGGTTCTACACACCTAGAGTGAAGTGAGTAGAATAGAATTGAAGAGGAGGAAATAAGATATTTAAAGTTAGGTATATTAGTACACTGGGCAAAAAAAGCCTCAGTTATTGATTTGTTGTCTATTAACAAAACATTGTGCAGGCCTCATCACACTTAATCTGTTTTACAGGAATTAGACCATATCCTTGGAATACAAAAGCAGACCAGCCACCAAGATTATCAGTATATTGAAAATATATATTGAAAATGCCTTCAGCAGGAATATGTACTCCTCTACAGAGTTGTTTTCTCTTAATCAAATAATAGCTAGTTTGATGGTGAAAACTTATTAACTTCATGCTAAAATCTAAGATATATTTTATTAAACTGTTTTAAGAAACAGTGGATTAACGTGTGATTGTTTCTTGTAACTTTCTTTGCAGCGTTTTCCTTGGAGGGGTCTGGAATAAGTTTTGCTGATTTGTTCAGGCTCATTGCTTTCTACTGTATTAGCAGGTAAGGTGGTGCTATGTTCCAAGCCACATCTGCTAGACCATCTCAAGAAAATGAATTTTGAGCAGTTGGTTCAGCTATTGATGCTATTTTTGTTGCCAATCTGCAAATACTCCTGGATAGCCTAGAAGGTAATGGTAGAGATCAGAGATGAGTTTTGGAAGCAAGTGTCTCTGTCTTACTTCATCCTGATTATTGGGAGGCTGGTGTGATTTTACCCACCCAGCTGTGAGGTGCTGCCAAGCTGAACTTTACTTTAGCTGATATCTTGTGAAGCTTTCTTAAGTGCTCTGTAGCTCATTTAAAAGCAATCATAAACTAGCTTGCAAAGTCCATTTCTTGGAATTGCTGGTGAGAATAATTTTTGGAGCATAATGGAAAAATGTCAGATATGTAGAATATGACAACTAAGAGATGTCAGTTTAAATGGGGAATGACAAAAACGGCCTTGTCAGCTTTGCAGTTCATGGTTGCCAAACTTGTTTTCCAGGTAGTATGCAGAAAAAAAGTATCTGGTGTTTTTATCCTTTATTTTCAATTTGACTTCATTTTACTGGTGAAAATTTCCAGGCTGATGCTCGAGCCTTGTATGTACACACAGACAGGACACAACCCAACTGCCCAGGGGCACATTTTCTGAAGGAAGTGGGGAGAGGCAGCTGTGATAGTCTTGGTCCTTTTACTGCATCAAGGCTGCCTGTTCATGCTGACCATGTGATGGTTTCTGGTGTGGGCTGCTCTTGGGCTGCTGTGCTTGCTGGTCTTGTTTGTGGTGGAGAAGCATCTTGGACCCTTTTGCTACAGCCTCTGTTTGGCTGAGTTGTATGTGCATGTAATAAAAGCAGCATTGATACCACATGGGTAATTGGTCAGAACTCAAAGAGAAATTAGCTGAAAATGTGTTTAAACGTAGTTTATTGAGGAGATACTCCTTATCTTGTCACCCTTTCAGTCCTGCCTGCTTGCCAGGCTCTGGTAAAGTCTCTCTAAGTACCTACAGGGTCATTCAGCAAACAGATTTCTTGCATTAGTCTATCCATTTTCTTTCACCGAAGGTTCAGTATTGTTTTGTATAGACTGAAGGGGGCAGATAGGTAGCTATTGTGAAAAAGAGACAGTACCATTTGGTACATCACAGGAAATCCAGGAGGGTTTTCTAAAACCAGAGGGAGTTTCTGGCAGGAGGTACCCAAGCAGTTTTTATGAGGGTTTACCTATTTTTGACTTGCGACCATGGTGATGATCTGGACTCTGGATTTTCTGTGGTACCATGTGAAGTGCCTTTCAAATGCTTTTCAGCTAGTGTATCAGTCTTGTGCATATGCTTGGCTTGAGTGTGAGTGGAATTCTGAGATTCTGTTTTTTCAAGAAGATAACATACAACATAGAGAATATTTATGTGATAAAGACCCACTGTGTGTCTGTGCTGTAGCAGATGGTTGGCTTGTTCACAACCTTAAAACCAAAATTCATGCTGACACCAGTTGTGTAGGATTCTCATTTAGTCTTAATTCCATGGATACTTCTACTACAGATGTTGCTGTTTAGCAACATTTAGTTAGAATAAAATTCTTATTCTGAAAACTGGAATAACAATCCACAGCGTATTCAGAAAGTGAGAAGCTTTTTTGAAGTGTTAGGGCAGGTAACAAGTTTGCATCTCACTGATCTGCTTGTAGAAGACCAGGTGTAAAAGCTTGTGTTGGAAAGGCAGAAAATACTGGATGGCTCTGTGAAAATGATCCTAGGGAAAGTCCTGGGCACTTGACTGTCATTTGCCCTTCACACCACTGTGCAGTGTAAAGGAGCTGTGGGGTTGGTAAAGTAATCTCTAACTGTGCTGTGTGTTTAAGGATCTTGCTTCCTGACACAGCTCAAGAAGATAATCAGAAATCAGAGACTGCCTGGGTTTTTAGAAAAAAAAGCTTTTCAAACTATGGATGTTGCTGGAAACCATAATGGTTTTTCTCTTTGGAAACAGGGATGTCCTTCCATTCACACTGAAGTTGCCTCATGCAATTGCTGCAGCAAAGACAGAAGCTGAACTTGAAGAGATTGCTCAGCTTGGACTGAGTAAGTAGTTCTCTACAAAGATGTCTTTTCCTGTAGCACACCTGTAACACTGAAGAAATAGGCTGTATCAGTAAATAGTTCATACTGGTTAGTGATGATACAAATTTTTGTATCATCTTGTTTAGAAAAGCAGTTTCTCTTATGATTTGGGAAGGCCAGACCTTCTGGCCAAGGAGTGGTGCTCTTCCTTCCTTCTGTGCCTTCTGTGATATTTTTGCTAGTGCTGTTTCTTCCTTCCTCTCTTCCCTCTCTGGGCAGCCCTTGGGCAAAGCAAATCTCACAGTCCCCACACAGAGGTTGATGTGGCTTCTGCTCCAAGACCTAACGTTGTCTGCATGCTCACAGAGCACTGGCTGTGTGAGGCTATATAAAGCACTGGCTTTATTATTTATTGTGAGAAGAGTGTAGGAACTGAGGTCCTCTGTTGATAAAACTTCTGTTCAGATTGACATGAAAACTTAAAATGGTGAATTTTGAGATCAGTGCCTCAATGAAGTGACGTATTTAGGAACTGAGGAGTGTATCTATGATGGTGTAGAATGTATCCATAGGCAGAGTGTTAGGTGAAATTTTAAAAATACCTTTAAATAAAAGGGTGTCCTTGCATCACTTGATTGCTTCAGCCAAACACAGGCTCATTGTAAAGCATACCTTGAGCTCAGGGGAGGTGGATGCAAAGCCTCCTGGGATTTGAAACTTGGGCACCACCCAGATGAATCATTAAGCAGCTCTGTATTGAGCAAAGTGCTGAGTGGCTTCATTTCCTTCTCCAGGAAGGGAAGGTTGACTGTCAGCAACCTTTGTTGCAGTAGAGTTCTTAATAATCTTTGATTTTGAAAAGGATCCTCTCTAAATCAGTGTTAGCATGAGGATCTCTTGAACTGTCTGGTGGGACTTTGCAGTGCAATCATACCCAGGGCTGTATTGCTGTGCTTTGCATTTTGGTTTGCTGCAGTAGCAGTGCAGTTAAAGGGTTTGTTTTAGACAGGAGAGAAATTACTTCTTCACTGCTTGTCTGCAAGTTTAGGTAGTCAGGTGCAACTATGGATTATCATGGGAATAGAGGCAAATATGGTACTCTTGAGGTCAGTATTTAGATGGGAAAAAGAAAGTAAAAGGTCTGACTGGGATACAGTGTAATGAAGACAGTCTCCCAGTGACACATGGAAGCCTTAAAGTAACATGAGGTGAGTCTCTCCAGAGGGGACAATAATGGTAATGTTGATCAAGCTCTCCAGGCTGACCACACTTTGTCACCAGTACCCCAGAGTATTGTGGCCTACTTGCTGCAGGATTAGTCTTGCTCTTCAATAGCCTCTGCATTGTGTATGTTTTTTCTGTAGCTACTACATTTGAAAGCTGATGCATACAGTGGTTGCTGTATTTGGGATCAATTACCTGATATACACCAGATGACAGTTTCCATGAGCTCAGTGTCTGTGTGATTGCTGTATTTGGGATCAATTACCTGATATACACCAGATGACAGTTTCCATGAGCTAAAAGCAGGCAACAAAGTTGAGATTTTGATGGAATTTTAGGTGTCCATGTGCAGAAGAGCACACCAGAAAGTCAGCCTTTCAATTCTGTGGACTCAAGAGAGGCCTAAAAACTCCCGACAGCCCTTCCTGTTAAGTGTGAGTTTTCTGTGAGGAACGTGTAAGCACAAAACCCTGTGGTGTGTGAACACAGGGCTGTATCCCCTGTCAGAGCTCTCTGGTGCAGTAGGCTCAGAGGGAGAGCTGCACAACACAAGTCAATAGCACATAGCCCAGCAAACCACATCAGGAGGAACTTCTGGTAAAGATTTCAAGGCTGTTGCCAACCTGCAAGGTTTCATGTGCTGAACATAAGATTCTCTCTCAGTCTCCCCTGTGTTTCACCTGCAGGAGTGCTTACATCATGTGTTTTTGCAGCAGCCACGTGCCAGGCACAGGCACTGAGAGGTCTGCAGGCAGGATGTGAAGTCATGAAGCTGGGAGCACCAGCAACATGGCATAACTATGCAGAGAAACGTGCCTGTGCCTATAGACATTCTCTGGCATGGCCTGTCACCGTGGGCTATTTCCTGTCTTCTGCCCCGCAGGCAGGACCTGGCTGTTGGCACGGACCTGTTGTGGATGCTTGGCATTCGTGCACTTGGGCCCAGGTATCATTGCTCAGTTGCCTCCAGTGAGCCATCTTGACACACTGGGAAAAGGACCATGTCAAGATTGGCAAATTTTAGCTAAATCTCCCTCCTTTGGTATTATGCCCTTATTTCAGCATGATTGCTGCCTTCAAGGGCACATCTGGTTTCAATCTTCATGCCTTCAGGCACCGATGCTCTTTAGCAGTGACTCGGTTGCACAAACATGCTGACACTTGTCTGGGATAAGTGCAGAGGCTGCAGCTGCAACTTGCTGCTGTAGCATAGGTTTTCATGCTCCTGGTGTGGGACTGCACACTGGGTCATTTATGTGTCTCTGCAGTCTGTATTCTCAGGCAAACTGTCCCCACTGCAAGGGCAGGCCAGCAAGCCAGTACCTTCGTTAGACACTTGAATGCTTGGTCTGCCTTGCTAAAGGTGATGTGTGCATCCACCACAGCAAAATGTGAGCTGCCTTTTTGTGTATAGTTTCATGTGTTCACTATGAAAAGAAACTGAACCAAGATACTTGTAGAGTTTCTGGAAGTGGCCTTAAGCTGGTGTAAATCAGCTTAACTATTGTCTTTAATGAAGTGAGCTTGTTAATACCAGCTGAGAATCTTGCCTTATTTCTCCTGAGTGACATGCTAGTGAGAAGTTTGTGTTCATTTCAGTCTCAAGCCAGTAAAAAGTATTCTGTTACAGTCTCCATTCCTTTCTTTGATACTCAGTTTAATTTTAAGCTTAGTGGGGTGATTGGAAGCTGTGTGTTGGTCATGGTATTTATAAATGAGTGAGAGCAGCCCCAGGAATGTAGCATACAGTTATGTCTGGTGGTACTTTAAGAGGTTCACTTGGACTTTTTTTCTCCTTTTAATTAATAAAACCTTGCCTAAATTTCTCGATATTTTAAACTGGTGTTGTTGAGTTGAATGTTCTGAAATCCATCTGCATGGTGTTTTGCATTCTTACGTTAATGCAATGATGATTTTCAGACTTTTGGAGCTCCCTGGCTAACAGCAAACCCCCGGATCCTTCACCTCCCTGTAGGCCTGTGCCTTTGGACCGTGCTCGCAAAGACTCACGCCAGCTCTGCCTTATAAATGGAGTGCATTCTATACGAACCAGAACGCCTTCAGAGCTGGAGTGCAGCCAGACCAACGGAGCGCTGTGTTTCATTAATCCCCTCTTCTTAAAAGTGCACAGCCAGGATGTCAGTGGAAGTCTGAAAAGGCAGAGCCCGAGAACTCCAGACGTGAATGGCACAGCGAGGCCTCGCTCCCCCCCGCCCCGGCCACCACCTCCTGCTATTAATAGCACCCTCACGAGCCCACAGATTTCCAGGACTATAAAGCAGGCGAGCATGCCAGAAACAGTCAGCCATAAGAAGGAGAGGGGCTTGGATTTGCTGCAGAACAAGCCCACCCCGATTCCGCCTCCTCGGCTGAAGAAGCAGGCTGCGTGCTCCGAGGCAGACAGTGCCTCCAGGAGCGCGGCAGCGCTCCGGCCTGACTCCGTGTGCGTGCCCGAGGCAGCCGCGGTGCCGCGTGAAGCCCTGCCCGAGCCGGCTCCAGCAGCTCCCAAAAAGACTCCGGCTGCCATCTCTGAGTCACACATCCCGTGGAATGGAGGCAGGCAGAGACTGAGCGACATGAGCATTTCCACCTCCTCCTCTGACTCTCTGGACTTCGATCGGAGCATGCCGCTCTTCGGCTATGAGGGGGACACCAACAGCAGCCTGGAGGACTTTGAGGGGGAAAGTGACCAGGAGAGCATGGCACCCCCTTTGAAGCCCAAGAAGAAAAGAAGCAGTTCGTTTGTTCTCCCCAAGATTGTGAAATCTCAGCTACGGAAAGTCAGTGGAGTTTTCAGTTCCTTCATGACCCCTGAGAAGAGGATGATTAAGAAAATTGCAGAGATGTCCCGGGACAAACGCACCTATTTTGGATGCTTGGTACAGGACTATGTCAGCTTTCTCCAAGAAAACAAGGAGTGCCATGTTTCGAGCACTGATATGCTGCAAACAGTTCGTCAGTTCATGACCCAAGTCAAGAACTACTTGTCCCAAAGCTCCGAACTTGATCCCCCAATCGAATCACTGATTCCTGAAGACCAAATAGGTAAGAAACACTGTCCTGTGTTTTGGGGGGAAGGTGAAAATGTGTAATCTGTGTTTACAGTGATAGTCTTTGTCCAGTTCAGGAAGGTGGGGCTAACTTGGCTAGTAGAGCTTGAACCACCAAGTATTTGAGTCTTAAAACAACCTCCCCCTCCATTCCCCACCCCAGATCACACTGTCAGCTTGGAATGATTACACTACGAAGTTGTTCATAAGAAGTTATCTTTAAAATAGGTGCAATGCAGACTTTTTTTACCTGTGATTAAAACTTTTTTACCTGCTCTGCTGTTGACAATAGCAAATCCTTTATTTGCTGGCACACATGTTTTTTTCTCTGAACTGGACTGATATAGTTCGCAAGGGTTGGTCTAAACTGCCAAATCTGGCCATAGGGATTGTAGCTGTAGAACTAGAATTTATTCAAAACCAATGACATTTAAGAGCAGAGAGATATTTTATGACAACTTAGTTTTGAAATAAATCTGATTCCTCCAGACATTCTTAGTCGCTTCTAGCAAAGCTGTACTATGTCTGCACTTGAAACTAAATAAAAAGATATGTAAGAGTTTTAGAAAACAAACATGTGCAGGAGAGAGAAGGGGCTGCTGTTTTCTGTAGTTTTCTGTACTTCTCTGTTAGATGTGTTTGTGAGTGGTTATGGATGAACTATATGTTAGAATATATGTTTTAACAGGAGAGACAGATTTGTGTATCCAAAAAAGTGAAATCATTGCTGCATAAATCTCGCTGCCTCTCTTGCAGAGTCTGCGCAGTATTTGTAAAAGAGCCTGTAAGCCACATTTAAGAGGTAAACACGCCTCAGGGCAGAATACTTTCCTTGTGAGCTCACTTCAGTCCTAATTTGTTTGTTTTTCTCCCTACCCCAGTGTCCCAACAGTTGGCTCAGTGCAAAATTGGCAGATACTTCCTTCCCTGGGACTAGAGGGTATTTTTATATTGACATTCTGTCTGTCCTTGACCAAGATGAAGTATTCTCATGTAACCTCAGCTTCATTTACATTACTTCAAGCAAAAGTCACAAGGACTGCTAAAGCAAATACAAAAATGTGAAAAGTGTCCCCAGAATTGAGACTCAGAAACATGTAATACTCTCCCAATAATAATAAAGACTGTTAGATGGGTGTTAGATGGAAGAAAAAGCACCAAATTAAGCAGGAGATGCAGGCACATTTTTGCCTTTCTGTAGCGTGCTAGATATTTGACAAAGCAATACAGATGGAGTTTAGTTGTAATTTTGTGAAAGCCTAGTTTGTTATGTAGTTTTCATTTCACAAGGGTGTGGTTTAATCGGACTGTGGGTCTCCCAAGACTGGAAAAAATGTTCTCTGCTATTAAATGTTTCAGACTTTGGAGTTGCATAAGCTATGAAGTATAAGAACTAAAACTGCCCTGGTTTTCTTCAGTGACAGTCTAGTTCTGATCATGTGACTAAACACAATTAATTATAAAGTGGGCTGGTTTAAACAAAGAAAGAACTTGCTTTTGAATCATGTACTGCCTTTGGCTTGAGCCAGCAAACAACTGCAGTGGATCAGAAGCATCAGATGTTGCTGATCTAAGTAGATAATTATGTGACGGCAAAATTTAGTCATCCCTATGGAGAGCTTTTCATGAAGTAGAGCCCTGCCTGTTGTCCATAGTTTTCCTTGACTATTTCAGTATGGAATTGCAGCCCAAATTTTAACTTTGTGAGCAGTCGTTTATCCTCTCTTGTCAGTTTGCACTTCCGTGGTGCAGTTTTTTCCTCCAGCGTGTCAGCCTGGTGCTGGATGTGTGCTTCTGGGATAATGCTCCTCCTTTCTGAGTCATTCAGGCTTTGCTTTAACCCTTCTTTGCCTCCTGAACTTCAGCAGCTGCTGGAACAGCTCTCCCAGGTTTAGTGAAGCCCTTAGTGTTTGGAACTTCATTCAGTGTCTCCATAATGATCTTTTTGATCATGTAGCTTTTCTTCTAGAACTTCGTCATAGACTTCTGCAAGCAAAAGACTTCTGGAGCAGATCTTTTATCTTCCCAGATAGGAGTCCCATCAAATTGTTAAGCTTCTGCAAAATCACTGGGAAAATATCCTCCAGGGTTTCTAGTCCTGACAGATGCCTCCTGACCTTAGCACTGTAGGCTGTTAACCCACCCTGAAGCAGTGAGATTCCCAGTGTTGGGACAGAATCAAGAGTAAGGCACATGGCTCTTTATTGTTTAAGGATGAATGTAATTTATTTTTTTAAAAGACATCCACACCTCAGTTTGTATCCACAGAATGAAGACTGGTCTGAGGAGACCCTGATAGTCCAGAGCTGCTTGATCAGCAAATATTTGGGAGTTTTTGTTTGTCTTTTCATCTTTTCCTGGCTTAGAACAGAACAGAGTCAAGTTGAATGCTGTCACTTTGCCAAGTGGGATCTAACATCTGACATCTAAACAACTTCAGTCTCAGTGCCCAAATCTGGCCCTGAACCAAGAAATTACTGGTTTGAACCACTTGTCAGTAAGGTACTAACTGATCATGTGGGAACGTCCCTAAACAATACCCTCTATTACTTGTTTTGATATTTCTGATATGTTAGGGATATTTAAATGCTGAATGTTAAAGAAGCTTGGAGAGAATGTGCTGGTCCCTTACTGGCAGTCCATGCCTTGTTGAAGGTCATTGGGTCTGTACAGAGGAGCTGCAGACAGACAGAGCTGGACATAGTAATTAACTGAAGCCCAGGACTGACCCCCGTGGTACCTCTTTTCCAGTGTCTGTCTTGTTTGACAGTCAGCCATGGGTACTTGGGTTCTCAGTGCAGTGTTCTGCCCACTGTTGATGCACACTGCTGATGGTTATTATGGCAAGGCAGTATTTCCCTTGTTTGTTTATATGGAAGGTGCACAGAATTAGACCTATGGGCCTTAAAAAGGTTAAGCAGCAGCCCAGCCCAGATACCCTCTTCTTTACTAACCCAGTTATCCTCCTGAAGGAATTAGAATGGTATGTCACTATTTCTGCTTGAAAAACTCATGCCAGCTGGTTTTTTCACGGTGTTACTTTTTAGGTGCTTGTGCATTTATTTTGGTGTCCTGTCCTTCATTGTTGCATCTTTTCATGTTGAGCTTAGTCTTACAAACACATCCCTCAGTGCACCTCCTTTCACCACAGGAGTGATGGGACAGGGCAAGCAGGAAGCAGTGGTACAAGTACTGAGCAGAGGCAGGGAACCAGGTTCTTTTTCTGACCATCCCTTGGATTTCCTTTGTGACTTTTTCCCTGCTTCTTTTCTTTCTTTTCTTTCCTGCTACTTCAAGAGAAGACATGTGCTTACCACACAGCTATAGCATGAGTTTCAAGTAACTCACAGCTGCTTAAAGCAGAGCACACCTAGCACAGATAGCTGTGTGATTTTTTGGTGTGCTTTTGTGTAGGTCACATGAGGGGAGGCTTACCTTTCACCCCTGGTTGCTAGGTCTCTGCCACCACTGCCTGTAGATCAACCACCTCAGCCTGACCTCTGTTTTCAGGGTTGTGCTGATTATCAAGGAATTTGGGTTGTGTGAGGTCTTACTTTCAAGGCTTGGTCCTGTGGAGGAGATTGCCATGGATGCTTGGCCATCACGTTGTGGTATTCCAAAGCAACTTTCCACTTTCAGCTGCCAGGCAGTGTGACCTGTGCAGGACTGTGCCTTTTTGTGGCGGTTCTCAGGATCGCTCAGTCTGCTGCTGACCTCTGATTTCCCTGGTGAATGGTTTGGCCATGGTAAACAGGGCTTGAGTGTAAATCGAGGGACTGGAATGTGACAGTCACGTAAGTGGAGCAACAATTGTTGGTAGGTAGCAGGGAAACAGAGAGCCTGGAAAAAAGCCTGAAAAGGTGAGAGCGTGCCTAGAATTTGGGGAAGTGCGGGCTGTAAGGAGGCTGTATAAGGACACTGGCAATGACTAATGTGTTGTCCTGTCTAGATGCAGACTTGTGTGGTTGGCAGCAAAACAAAAATAGCATGTCAGCACAGGATACAGATGTGTTTCCACAAGTTACAACGAAACTAGCTGGCTGGCCTTTACAATTCATTTATCAAAGCACTTCCAGTTCCCATTTTGAGGCTACAGGCTAATTATAAGCATTTCAGGAACGATACACAGTGTTCAGTTCATATTATATTCAGTTTAAAAAAAATTATCTGAAGAGTATCTGTTTTGATTTTGAAGTGGTAAGCATCCTGGGAGGATATTTGAAAACATGGATCTGAAATAAATAGAATTTTTCTTGCTGATTTGGTTCTTAAAAATATACAGAGATGTTAAGCTAAAAATAAGTCCTCAATTCACAACTTAGATAATGATTTGCCTGGGAAACCCTCATATACTTTTTTGTGACCATCAGAAATCAAACAATGAAAACTGCTGCTGGCTGAGAATTGCTTTGTGGGATCTAACCCAAAAACACCTTTCTCTGAAAGTGGCCAGAAGAAACAGTGCTGAAGAAAGGGTCGCTGGCTGGGTGGTCTGGCCCCAAACATGCTCATAGGAGCCATGGCACTGAATATTGTTCTAAGACTCAGATCACAAGAAGTGCTGTCCTACCAGGCTTTAATAATAATATAATTTTTTTGTAAGCTTTGTATTTGTTAGGATACATATGGGTATTACTGTTGACCATTAAAAAAAACCATTTCTTTTGAGGGCAGAACTCAGTGGTTCTCACGTGTGTGCCAAGAATTCATAAAGGAGAAGAAAATGTTGTGTGTTGTTTTGAGGGTTTTTTGTGTGTGGTTTGAAGGATTTTTGTGTGTTGTGGTTTTTTCTTTGTTTTGTTGTGTCTGTGTGGAGCTTTGAGCACAGCCACGAGTTATATGATCCCTTCCTCTGTGCTGCTTCAGAATTATTTCAAGTTTCCATGGAAACTGTGGAAATGTGATCGAGTAAATTTCAAAGCAATTTCCAGGCACTGCTTTTGGATCTTGTGACAAATAGCAAACATGAAAGAAACCTCCTTGCCATCTTGCACAGCTGTAAAAATCTGCATGGTCCATCTGTGGAAGTGGCAGTGCCTTTGGAAGGGTTGAGGGCAGAAACCCTGAAATCCACTTCTCACCTACAGACAGCGAGCCTGGCCCCAGCCAAGGACTGCGGCTCTGGGGAGGAATTTTCTGTCCCAGCAGCATCCAGTTCCTGTGGGATCTGGGGAGGCACTGCTTCTGCCTCCTATTCCTATACAGGATCAGTCACATCCAGAAACATCCTGAGCTTCCCAGAGCTCCTATGAACAAATGTTGTGATGACCCCTCTTTATTGAGACGAAGGATGGCTTGTGCTCAGTATTCATCTACAAAACTTCCACTGGAAGCCTGTGGGAGTTCAGCTTTCATGGGGATAGAGCTCTCTCACTTTACATGATGTTCAGCAGCACCAACTGCTTTAATTAACAGGACCAGCTGGTTGCAATGCACACTGCAGAGGTGTTCCTCTTACAAGCAAAGCAGCTGGTGTTTTTCCTATTTGAAAAAATCAGGTAGTAGAAATAAAGAAAGCTGAATTGCCAAAAAAATAGTCATCAGTGAAGATAGCAAGGAATGATTTGTAAACTCTAGAATAGAAATTTAGCTAGCCAACGTACCTGTGGGTGAGACTGGTGCGTTTTTCTTGGTGGAAAAAGTGTTTCTGCAATTGTTTCTGCCCCATGAGCCCTGAGGATTGCTTTGATGGCAGGGAAAGGCAGTTTCTGTCTCTGTGCAGAAGGGTGATGCTTCTATTTACCTGGCCGGTTTGGTGCTGATTGTGTGGCTCTACCAAGTACAATAGATAAGGATCAGTCGTTTGAAGTGTTGCCACTTGCTAACGTAGCTAATTGATGGCTCTGCTCTGGTGGGAAGCTGGATCCAGCCCTGGCCACTGTGTGAGAGGCCACCAAGAACATGTCTCAGATCATGCCTTTTTTAGTGCCTTTGCTGACAAACACAGAAAAAATGCTACATATGAAGTCAAGGCACCGTAGGAGGAGAAGTGTGTGTGTGAAGGGTGTTTATATGGGAAAGAGAGGGATGGAGACCCAAAAGGAAAAAGGACTGGACACAAGAATGTGATAAATGAAAGAAAAAAGCAAGAAAACAGAATAATGCTTGTTTGGAGAGTGTGTCTGCTTCTGTGTAAATACCAAGCCTTAGAAATAGTATGTGATTAAAAAAAAAAAAAAAGGGGAGGGAGAGTAGGGAGAAAAGAAGTTAGAAATAGTATGTGATTAAAAAGAAAAAAAGGGAGGGAGAGTTGGGAGAAAAGAAAGAGGCTGTAGTTTAAAAACACCAGTACAGGCAAAGAACCTGGGACGGCAGAAGGTTTAATGAAACTGTAATGAGTCACTGTTACTAACTAGGGAGAAAAGAAAGAGACCCACAGAAGTACAGGCAAAGAACCTGGGACGGCAGAAGGTTTAATGAAACTGTAATGAGTCACTGTTACTAACAAGAATGTCCACTGCTAATTTGTGTAAACGTGTGACCTGGCAGTGACACAGCCTCTCCTCTTGTGCTCCTCTGGTCCATCTGCCTGCTCTAGGCTCTGGTCCTGCCCCCCTCTCCTGCAGGGATGGCACAGGAATGTTCCCCACCATGTTTCCCACCACAGTACAAATAATCGATGTAGCTTAAGAACTAATGTAAGCTGCATTGCCATAAGGAAGCTGAGAAAGGAAATTAGCTTTTACAGTAAAGGTTTGCAGAGAAAGTGTTGAGCAAAGAGCTTTCTCTGTTGACACCGTCCATACTATGAAAACAGAGAATGAGGGTTAAAAAAAAACTGGCGTAGAACAAGAATTACAAATAAGCCCTGAAGTTAGCAGTTACTGTGCTGTGTGCATACAATTGCCAAAGAACTTCAAACTTGATGACAAAGCTGTATATAAGCTTGTGTGATGAAATCTGAAGCTGGACAAACAGAGCTTGGTTTTCATTTATAGTTTTTAAAGCCTATAATCTGCCCAGCTTCATAAAGATCCTGACAAAGTTGAGCCAAGTTTTAGGAAATCTTCGTTGAGTTACAGTTTCCAATGGAAACTATGCAAAAAGGACAGGCTTTAATGCCAAAGGAGACAAAAATTATGATTTTTGAAACATTTTGTTTCATGTTAGGTTTCGGAGTTAAAGTCTAAACTTTAAAAAAAAACTTTAAAATAAAACTTGCAGACTTCCAACCAACAAAAGAAAAACTTTAATAGACCCACGGGTTTTTTTGTTAGTTTGTTTTTTTTTAAACTATCCGTAGTGTGTGGGTGTGGGTTTTTTTATTTACCACATTGCCAGAAATGACAATTCAATATGGATTCTGCTCTGCCTTCTGTTTTCGTGTTAACAAACATCTGGAAACTCATCTTGTGTAATAAATGGGCCTTAGAAAGTAGGTTTTGCTCTACAGGGTCTCTTTAGGGAATGGCTGTGTTAATGCTGGCTCTGCCTTTGAGGGGGAAGTCAGCTGGATTTGTGTTTTCCTGTTGCAGATGTTGTGCTGGAGAAGGCCATGCATAAGTGCATTCTGAAGCCGTTGAAGGGTCACATTGAAGCGATGTTGAAAGAGTTTCATACCACAGATGGTTCCTGGAAACAACTGAAGGAAAACCTGCAGCTGGTGCGGCAGAGGAATCCTCAGGAACTGGGCGTGTTTGTCCCAACACCAGACTTTGTGGACGTTGAAAAGATTAAAGTCAAGTTCATGACTATGCAGAAGATGTATTCACCTGAAAAGAAAGTCATGCTGCTGCTGAGAGTTTGCAAATTGATTTACACTGTCATGGAGAATAACTCAGGTATGGTGCTTCTGGTAGTTCAGGTTCACTGCTCTTTCATACCTGGTGTTGTCTTTCGGAGGAATCAGCCCATCTCATTCTGCAGACAGGTCTACTGCTGAAGCTCTTGTAGCTTCTCCTTCCCCTTTTGAGAGGAATTCTTGCTCTCTGCTTCTGACCTGCTGTCTCTGTACTATCTGGCTGCATGTCTTAAAAACTCGGTGTGAAGCAGAGTTGTTGTCATGGGTGGAGTGCGAGCTTCAGGCAAAGTTAATTGGAGAAGCCCTCCCGTGGTGCAGGAAGGACCCTCGTGCTTTCTGAACTCCTTGTCACAGAGGAGCCTGGGTGCAGCTGGATTCAGTCTTAGCCCAGACTTCGTCAATGATTTAAAATCCAAGGAATTATAGAGGTGTGATTGAACCTTCGTACAACTTGGTCCTACAGGATTAAGGATGACAAACCAGATAGAGTCATATCAAATGAATTATTTATTATGATAAATTATTAGACCAAAAAGATATTAATCTGAATTATTTACTACACAGTGTAGAATTAAAAACTACCAGTATAGTCTAGTATAGTGCAATGCACTATATCAAAACAATTATAATAAAGAAATTATATTAAAGCTAGCAAAAAGACCCAGAACAATTACTGAGTAGAGATTGATGTTTCTTACTGAGACCAGCGACCAGGGGCACCAAATCTCTTTTGCTCAGCCTCCAGGAGTGGCCGTGAGGGGCATTCCCACCAACGGAGGAGTCTCCACACACAATCCCAGAAGGGAAATATTAGAAGATCCTGCCATTTGAAAGCAGGACTGGACTTTTAGAATACAAAGTGATTGACTGTCAGCCGGATGTCTCCATGCCAGTCTTGTCAGCCTCTGCGTTTTTAGATGAGGATACTTTATTTGCCACATCAATGTCAGGCTGCTTAACTTCGGGGTTGATGAGTCAGACTGGGTTTAGCATAATTCAACACCAAAAGCAGCATGACACCACTTCTTAGTTCACCACTGATAACTTTGCAAAACAGGGCATTGTTTTACCTCACTCCAGGCAGAGCATCCTACAGTTGTGAAGCAATTGAAAAAGAGCAGCTTTCCTTAACTGTAGGCTTTTGAAGTTGCCTGGCAGAAAGGCTGTCCTGTGAGCCTGGAATTTAACACTGATTCTAAATGAGTATTTGTCTGCAAATTGTAATAGAGGTAACACCATATATTTAGCTGTTGCAATTCAATAGCATGTATGCAATATGACAACTACAATGGTTTTATCTTAATGGGTGGAGAAATGCAACCTCTAATCCAGTATTTTTGGCTTGCTGTGCCACTGAATGTTCTCATTTGGACACTTTCTGTCATGCTTTTGGAACAGAAATTACATCTATTTTTGCACTGTAGCAAGAACCCTAAAGCACCTTTGAAACCTAAATACTGAAATGGCACTACAGTCCAGTCAAGACCTGCTGAGCAGTCAGTGGTCCAAAATGCTGTGCTGGATGGCATGAATTTATAGGTGCAACTCTGGCATTCTCTCTTGCACACTGCTGTGACAGGTCATGAGCTAAGGTGTAGCCAAGCTGTGGTAGTGGGAGATTGTTTTCCCCTAAGTGAGTATAAGCTGCTGCAGGTGCTTGGCAGTTCTCTTTCTAAGGAAGCACTGCATGTGCAGCTGGGTCTGGTGCAGATCAAGACACCTACTTTCCTTGGAGATTGGAGATGAATGGTGAAAGCTTATGGCTGTTAAAGCCCCCAGGTACTTTTACAAGATTTAGGACTGAGCTCCTGCCTAGCTTATTGTTGTGTTTCAAAATTCTGCATTTTAAAAGGGGCTACAGGGGTCTTGGCCTGAAGTTCTCTGTTTAGAGAATGTGGTGTTACTGGATTGAGTAAGGTATTTCCAACAAGCAGAAGGAAAATACTGAGAGACTGCTGCTGGTCAGGTGCTGCGTTGGGAGACTTGAGCTGAGATGTGGCAAGTGCTCATTGGGCTGTCTTATTTTGTCATGTAAAGTTTTTTAAACGTGGCATTGAGCCAGCAGCTGTTTGAGTATCTATACTTCCAGCCAGGTGAGTGTGGTAGCTGGAGCGTGTGCCTCAGCTGGTGTCACTTGAGTTTCAGCAGAGTTGTGAGCTGGCTCCTGCTCTGGGCAGTTCTGAGTGACCATCACATCTGTTTTGCAGTTGTGAACACTGTTTTGCCCGACCCAGAGATTTGGCCACATTGGGATTTCTGAACAGAAAGTCAAAATGCAGGAAAAGTGCCAGGAGCACAGGCAGGCCTAGGTACAGCACAGTCTTTGTGGATCACTGTCACTCCAGGCCCTTACAGTCTCTCCCCATCTTTCTTGTAGGCTCCCTTCAGGTGCAGCACCTGGTGTTTGTAGAACACCTCTCTGATGGTTTTGACAATTGTCTGTCAAGGAAATGGTTGAGTTTTCTTGTCAAATCTAACAGGCTTTTATATTCAGGCTTCTCTGCTGTGGGATTCATACTCAGAGACTGGTATTTGTGTCTGGATGCTTCCAGAAAGTTGATACAATCCCTGGATGTCTAAAGAAAATGCTATTCATCACCTCTTAGGCAATGGTAGCAGTGCAGGTGAAGGTCAGGCCAGACTGGCATGGCAGCCTTTTCAGCAGTTCACAGTTGAGCTGCTGCCAGCGTGAGCCCAGTCTCTGAATTTCCCTTGCATGCCTCCAGGTGTGCATCATAAGATCCCTGCCAGTTTGAAGGACAGGACTGAGCTTGTCTCCTGTACAGTGAGTGTCAGGTGGGGTTCTCTTTGCTGCACATTGGTGACTTTAGGAGGTTCTGGAGTAATACAGACATGCTGGGTAGAGAAGGCACAAAAAAGTGTTTTACTTTCAAACAAGGGAATTGCTAAAAAAATGTGGTTTGTTCTCACTGCTTGTGTTCCCTTCAACCCAGGGAGGCTGTATGGAGCTGATGACTTCTTGCCTGTGTTGACGTATGTGCTCGCCCAGTGTGATATGCTGGAGCTGGATACCGAGATCGAATACATGATGGAGTTGTTGGATCCATCCTTGCTGCATGGAGAAGGTAATCTGTTTATTTTTACTAGAACTGCCTGAAGGACTAGTGAGGGGGTGTTCTGAATCCTATTAAGGGGAGACCTAATGACAGTGATGTTGATAGTGTAACAAAGAATGTCATCATCATTTCCACTGCTGGGTAGCTTGCAGAGCACCAGCCCCCGCGGCTGGAAAATCTGCTGCTGTGTTTTGCTTTGTGAGCAAATACATTGTTTCCAATCCATTTTGACACAGCAGGCAAACACATGCACTGTGCAGGTGCCCGATGGCCTTAGCCTTTTGTGCCTGAAAATTTCCTGAGAGGATTTAAGGGGCAGCAGCACCCAGCAAATTGTGAGGCACATAATGAGACTTGGCTTATATGTTTTGTGAAGACTTCTGGGGGACTTCTTTGCACCTTTGCAGAAGTGCTTTTGAGAATGTTGCCCCCTTTTAATGATCTTTGCTTCTTCCCAGTATTTGCTTCTCACAAAGTATTTTTATGAGCTCTAGCAGTATGCTTCCTGAGGCATTTCTTGAATGAATGCTAAAGTCTGCTGCAGGCAAGGAAATCTGCCTCCTTGCAGTTTCCATGGTAATATTTTTAACAGAGCAGTTTTCTGCAAGGCCCTGCTAGGCCCCAGAATCTAAAAGGTTTGTGAGGAGGTTTGAAGGCTCTTGCAGCCAAGCTTAACTGTGTGTTAAGGTATATGTGTGTGTTTCCTGTTCCTGCTATATCCTGGCTTTCTGAAATTGCTTTTCATGTATCCTCTTGCATGCTTTTATGCTACAATTCCTTCAATTTGGCACTAATTTGTTCCTTGCTTGGTGTACAGAGCATCCTTGAGTGCCTTGTTAGGAGTCTTAGCATGGAAAATACTTGAGATGTGAAGCTGGAGATCATTAACATGCTTTAAAAGCAGAAAGGTTTACTGGACTATTAAGTCTTGTTGTTTTGAATACTCAGAGAAAGTCTGTCTATTGGTTGGGCCTGTCATTGGCACTAGCTCAGCTCTGCTGTGCAGAAAAAAATTGTATAGGGCTTTAGGGTTGTGCATTTCAACTGTAATGTATTGTCCAATTTGTGTAAAGGGTCTTGCATGAATTTTATGTGTTCATCTTGTTGCAAAGCTAAAGGCTGAGAGGGAATGCTGTCAGTAACACAGAAAATACTACTGTGGGCATCCAGTGCATCTCTGAATGCCTCTGAATAGACTGTGCTCTTAGCTGAACACTCCCACCCAAATAGTTGACTTGAAAAAGAAAAGACAGCATGTCTTTTGTTTCTCCTGGTCGCTGTGGACTGTTGCCTCCTGTTAAGACTCTTTTACTTTGTGACCCACAGACTTCTTTTGTACATTGGCAACTCTGTTGTGGCTTTAATTTGTTCTCTACTCATGTAATAAAGGGGGAGTGTGCAGGACTGTACACACCATCTCCTGAATTAGTTGGACGTTCTGGGAATGCTGAGAAGGTGATGATAGATGAGTAGATGTTTTAAAAATAAAGGCAACTTTTTGGGATGATTCCAGGGTACAAGTCTCACACTCAGTTGCTGCTTTATTGCCCCTGAGGGTGGTTGCTTTTAAGTTGGTGAACACATTTAGATTGTTTTTCATTTTGTACCAACAGCCATGTTTATTTCATCCATCATTGAAGCCTGGGAAGAAACCAAAACACTGTTAGAAAATTGTTTAGAATAAAGCTGGTGTTCCAAGATTGGAGGAGTAAATACTCAGGAGTAAAGGAGTTACGAGAGTTGTTGGTTTTCCTAGCTTTTACAGGGGCAACTGAGAGGAGTTTTAAAAAAATTTATTCTCTTACCAGTCATTTAAGGAATGGCTTTCCTCAGCAGGAGTGGACCCAAGGCTCTGCTGTGTAATATGGAGCACATGCTAGCCCTGCATGTCTCTGAGCAGCTGAGAACACACCCTCCAGTGTTGTGCAGGCCAGGAAGGGTTTTCCTTTTGTGTGTAAATATTCTGGCAACTTTCACATCTATGTGTGTGTGTAGCTGGGTGCCTCTCTGTGTGTATTTATATATATCTCAAAGAAAACTGCCTGTGCTTGTGACTGTGACCACTCTGAGGAGCTCTTCCCTTGCTGTCCTTCACAGGGGGCTATTACTTGACAAGCGCTTATGGAGCACTTTCACTGATCAAGAACTTCCAGGAAGAACAAGCTGCGCAGCTGCTCAGTTCAGAGGCCAGAGACACTCTCCGGCAGTGGCACAAGAGGAGGACAACAAACAGGACAATACCTTCAGTTGATGATTTTCAGGTAGAGCTTAGGGCTGAAATAGAAAATGGGATGATTGTGTTGCTGGAAATACCCATTTGAGAGGTATCATTCGTAGCAAATTCCCTTGGCAGGGCTGAGATTATGGCTGGCAAATTTGCCTCTTTGAAATCTTCACACTCACTTTTTATCAAACAGTTTCAATATGATGGTCTGAAGAAAACACTAAATAATAGAGCTTTCTTACCTTCCCTTTTAAGTCATGTGAAGCGAGAACAAACTGCATTGTATCTTAGATTCAGCTGTTTTGCACACTTTTTTGTTCAAAAGATCAAATCCAGATTTCCAGGGGTATAAATCAGCCCAGCTGCCCAATAGCCAGTGGTGACTAAAGCAGGTAGCAGACAGGAGAGGTGGGAGAAACGTTCCCTGACAGTTTTCAAGATTAAGCAGGCAGCAGAGTTCTGTGATATGGATGTCCTCACATTTCTTTGTGTTTTGTTTTTTCTTTTTTGTCCCCTGTGTTTTGTACTAATCTTCCAGAGTAGGGCAGTACCTTCAGCTGGAGAATAACAAAGCAGTGGTTATCACTTCATCTTCTGAACCCAGGCCTGCATCTCTTCCATCTGCTTTGGACTGACTGTTAAGGTGCAGCAGTTTGTGAGCTGAAAGAGGGGAGGGTGTTTGAACTGGGAAGAGAGGATTTACTCCTTGGAGTTCAGCTGTCTGCACTTAGGAAGAGGAGAAGCCATTACGAGCAATTCCAGTGTCCAAAGCCTGCCCATCTCCCTGGGATCCACGTTCTGTTCTCCTGACCTGTACTTAGGTGTCAGATTCCAGCAGCTGGAGTCTTTGTTCTTTCTGGCAAAACTCTGCACTCTCCATAGGAGCATCCAGCACCTTATTTCTGCTGGGTGAGGAAATGACAGAAGATTCTTTCTGCAGGATTTTGTAGGAGGTTCTATCTTCTCTTTCTCTTCAGATGAACTTGGTCCAGGCTCAGTGTTCACTTGGATGCAGGAAGATGCAGGGGGCAGGGAAGAGTTGGCACCAAGTGTGTCCAGTGCTTCTCCTGCTGTTGTCTCTTTCAAAAGAGAGCCTCCAATTAGTGGATCCCACCACCCACAGGACGTGCTTGGCACAAATGCAAGTGTTTTGCTGTCTACTCAGAATGGCAATTTTCTCTCTTCTCTCTCTCGGAGTCTTGCAGTCCTGAAATGGAGCACCTTGCCTACAACCAGCATGGAACATATCTGCAGCTCCAGTCATCTTCCTCCCAGGGAAACAGGCTGTGCTCATGGCATTTCTGTGCTGGCAGTCTCACAGCCTTGCTGGCTCTTGGGCCCTGGACGCTGTCTTTCCACCTTCCCTAAATGGATGGAAAAGCAAAAACCCCAGTACTTTGATGATGATGAAATACAGCTTTCTGGGCATCTGTAAAAAAACTTCAGCCTTTCCTTTTCCTTCCAGCAATCCTGCCCATCTAAAAACTCATGCTTTTCAAAGCAGGTCTTGTGTGTGGTAGCTTAATTAAAAATTAAATCTAGTGTGTTTTGCCCTATTTAGGGCTGGGTTTTTTCTACAAGTTCTTCAAACCAGGTAAAAAAACGGGCTTAGTTCTGTTCAGTCAGACTCAGCACCAATTTTTAAAATCTATTGCAGAGCTTTAGTGTTCAGTCTTCGCAGTATCAAGAAATACTTGATTAGACAAGAGTGCTCTTTGGAACTTAAGTCATTGGAAGGTTCTTCTCAGTCCTAGCTTTTAACAGCTTGTTTCTGTGAGACCTAAACTTCTACCATTGGGATTTCACACGCTTAATTTATTCATCGTACAAACCATGGGTGCCAGCTCAGTCAATAAACAGCTCTTTCTCCCTGTAATTTTTTCCATCTCCTTCAATCTTACTGCATTTTAGTCTTTAATCCAAGCTAATTTTTTTTCTTTTAAAACTGTCTCTGGTTTAGAGACAATTTTAGGAGAAAACGTTCTGGAATGAACATTTTCTCTAAAGAAAATGGATTTTGACACTCCCTTCCCACCAGTATGAAAGGAATTTCTTGGATGAAAATGACAAAAACCATTTATTGAACAAACAAAGTGCCCACAGGGAGAAAATTAATAACTGTTGGGTATTGAAGCTCCTCGCTGCTGGTGGATTTAGAGTTCCCTCTTCAGCTGGCCTGGCCTCCCCCGAGGTCCAGAGCTGGGATGCAGCATCCGGCTCCCACCACTGGTCTGGTTGTTGGACCAAAACCGAGCCGAGCAGTTCCACAGGAAGCCACAGAAGTCACTGGAGGATTGCTGTTGCAGTCCTGGGAAAACTTCTTGCCTCAGTTAACTGACACCAAGGTAGCCAAAAGCAGAAATGTAACTCCCTCCACCCCGCAAAGCCAGGCACACGGGGAGCGAGTGCCTGAACACAGCCTGTGCCAGAGTTCCCCCAGCTCCCACCCCTCCCCTGGACCCAGCTTAACGCTCCAGGACCCATTTCTGGGCATCAAGCAGACCATAGGGGAATACAATAGTATCATAAAATCACCCCAAGACAAAAACAGACAGGAAGCAGATGAAACTGGATTTCCCTGTGGGGCCTATTTAGAATGTATCTGTGTTAGCAGAGTTGCGGTGTGTGTGAGTTTCTACAGGAGAAGACATCCACCTTTCACCTCAAGATAGGTGCATTTACTCAAATGGTGCAGAGTAAATTTTCTTTCAGAATCCCTGTAGAAAAAAATGAAATGCTGTCCTGTGAAGCTGGGTTATGCCAGGCTTAGACACGAGGCTGCAGCTCATGGGATGGCCAAAACGTCCAGGAATCACCAGGGTGTGTTTCACAGCTGGAGCAGGGAGAGGCTTGCTTTTTGCTGCTGACTTTTCAGTTTTCAGAATCTAAGGGATTTTCAAGTTCCTGATGTCTGCTTTCTTCTTCACAGAACTACCTTCGTGTTGCATTCCAGGAAGTTAACAGCGGCTGTACGGGAAAGACTTTGCTAGTAAGGCCATATATCACTACCGAAGATGTATGTCAGCTTTGCGCTGAGAAGTTTAAAGTGGCAAATCCAGAAGAATACAGGCTGTTTCTTTTTGTTGATGACACCTGGCAACAACTGACAGAGGATACCTACCCTCAGAAAATCAAGGCGGAGTTGCACAGCCGTCCGCAGCCCCAGGTCTTTCACTTTGTCTACAAGCGCCTTAACAGCGACCCGTACGGGGCCATTCTGCAGAACAGCCACGACTCGGCTGCTTAAAACCAGCAACCTGCCATTTTTGTGTCTGTGCCTTGGTAATTGTTACAAACATCTTTGCTGGCTGCCTTCCTTAGGAGCTAAAACATGTCTTAAACCTTAAGTGCCTGGTGAAACACGTGCTGACGTTTCTGATATTGCTTACGGGACCCAGGCGCGCTGTGCACGTGGCCAGTTATGGAGAATATTCCACCAGCATGTCTGAGGAGACAGCCTATGAGGCTGCATTTCTTGTACCATGGGCTCTTTTTCAGCATATTCTACTGTGGCCTTTCACAGGTCTTGGCTGTAGTGTGCAAAATACAATTCTCTTCCACTCCTGTTTCCCCAGCTGTCACTTGCATTTGAATCCGTGTGCGAGGCGAGTGCGTCCCTGAACTGGGGTGAGCTCAGTTCCCCAGCAGGAGTTTGACAAGACTGTCCGATGCAGGGCATCAGTTCACTCAGCATTACCTGGATGGTTGCATCCTTGTCTAATTTTTTTGATTACAGAAAATCAACCTGTTTTTATATATATATATATATATATATATAAAATAGATATTTTATAGCAGTTGCAGGTAAACTGTCAGGGTTGGTTTTTGAAATATTTTTTTAACTAAAATATTCTATAATTATGCATGTGATTTTTAACATTTAATACAGAAGAATAAATCTCTTGCTGGTTTTAGAGTCTTGCATTGACAGCCTGTGTGGTTTCTCTTCTTTACCTGCCCCAGGAGAATTCTTAGGAAACCTCTGTATCCTTAAGGCAGTTTTGCTGTCTGTCCTCAATTGTCTTCTCAAAATCAGACCATTTTACTCATTGTGCTGTGCAAAACACATCTTAGCCTCTCATCACATTCATTCTGAGCACACTGAGGGGAAGAGAACTGATAAAGGTAGAATTTCCCTGAGAAAGGAGATCAGGGTGCCACTGGTGGCACGGGCTGGGATTGGAGCTGAGCTGGAGCACGTCATCCATTCCTCTTTCACCTCATGTTTCATCAGGGCGTTTATGGCTCTGCCAAGAGCCAGATGGTAATTAAGGAGTCCCAGGCCAAGCCATGGCAGTAACCTGTTCTGTTTGAGCTGCTGGTTTCTTGACACGTGCGTCAGCCATACTCTCTAATAAGTCTTGGGGTTTGTTTCTGATTTTCTTTCAGCCTTATATCCAACTATCATCCCCTTTTCTTCTCTTTGTCCAGTGTGTCTTTTGTATTCCTTGGTCCTGTGTGCTCCCATTCCCTTTCCCTACTTCACTCTCTTCTTCTTTTTAAGAAATAAATACTCAATATTTATTTAATAAACCTTGCTCAGTCCCTCTCCCTGTTCTGTCCTACTTTTTGTCTCCCTCCCTCTCTCCCTGCCTGCATCTTTATCTTTCCTTCTTTCTTCCTCTTTTTTTCCCTTTTCCTGCACTGGGACTGTATTTCTTTGTCCCACTCACTGTCCTTTACCTGTCTGCATTTTCTGCCCAGTCCTTCATTCTCATTGTACCCTTGTCTTGAAAAGCCTCTGTCCTGCTGGCCGTGCCTCTCCTCCATCCCTGCCCCGCACCTCGCCCGCTTTCCCCCACAGGCCGTGCCATGGTCGTTGCCTCTCTCTGTCCTTGTTTCCCTCTTTGTAGCCCTCTGTCTCTTTCTCTGTCCTTCTCCATGCCTCACTCCTGTTCCTCTTTTTTCTGTGTGGCCTGTGGTGCTTTCCATGCCATTGTTTCTCACTGGATACTCGTGAACCATTCCCTGTCCTTGTTCTTTTTTAAGCCCTTTCTGTAATGCCGCCCATCCCAGTTAGGGTTTTTTTTGGTTTTTTTGTTTGTTTGGGTTTTGATTTGTTTTGGGGTTTTTTGGGGATGTTTCTGTTTTGGTTTGGGGTTTTTTTTTTGGTGGTTTTGTTTGTTTGTTTGGTTTTTGCCTTACTTGTATTCCATTTTTATTCTTGGTGGCTCTGTGGTGCTCCCGTGTGCCATTGTTTCTCTACTCCCGTTCCCTGGCCCTGTTCTTTTTTAATCCCTCACTGTCATGCTGCTCATCCTAGGTTTGTTGTTGTTGTTGTTTTGGTTGTTTTTTCAATTTCATTCTGCACCCCGTTCTTACTTTTTTCCTGTGTCCTCTCTGCTGCCTTTCCCTCTCTCTGCGTCTCTCCTGTGACTGCGGGGCTGGGGAGGAACTTCTGGGAGCCGCCCCCCATTCTTGTTGCAGCAGAGTCCCTTTTGGGGGGATGTACTCGTGGGAAGGGCTGGAATAAAGCACCGCGCTGCTGTCCAGGGCAGTTTGACTCCTTCTGTGCTTTCTTTGGGGGTGAGGAGGAAAGGCTGAAGGTGAGGGGGTGAAGACTCGGGGCTCTGATGCCATTTGGGGCACCCCAATGTCCCGAGGAGCAGGTGGGTGGGGAATGAGGGGGGATCGTGCTGGGCGCTGTCCCCCAGAGGGACCCAAAGCTGCCACAAAATTCACAGGGAGGGGTGGGTGTAGAATACTAAAACCTGTCAAGTTTTTCGTTTTTATAGGTATTGGCAAAGAATAGGAATTTATCTTTAAAATCATTTGAGTATCAAGTGGATTTTGTTGGTTTGTTGGGATTTTTTTCCCCCTCACTCGTGTTCCTTTTTTATTCTCTGTGGTGCTCCCGTGTGCCATTGTTTCTCTACTGGATCCTTGTGTCCCATTCCCTGTCCCTGTTCTTCTTTATTCCCTCACTGTCATGCTGCTCATCCCAGGTTTTGGTTTTGTTTTTAAATAATTTTTTCTACTTCATTCTGCACCCCGTCCTTAACTTTTCTTCCTGTGTCCTCCCTGCTGCCCTTCCCTCTCTCCGCCTCTCTCCTGTGACTGCGGGGCTGGGGAGGAACTTCTGGGAGCTGCCCCCCATTCTTGTTGTAGCAGAGTCCCTTTTGGGGGGATGTACTCGTGGGAAGGGCTGGAATAAAGCCTGAGAATTCTGAGAATTCCAAACGTCGTGTCCTTAGAATTCTTGATACAGTATTTAAATAGTTGCTATCAAGGTGAGACATTCTAGTGGATTTGTTAGAGTGGCAGAAATGTTTTTTTACCTGGAAGTGTGTTGGGATAAGCAACCCTCCTTAATGCCAGAATGACTTGGTCTTGCTTCTTTTTCCTTTTTCCCTTTCTAGATTGCTGAGCTCTGGGAAGAATATTTGGGATAAAGAAATGAAAGGCACAAGGGAAGCTCTACACTCCCGAGGGAACGCTTTAGGCACGTGCAGCTTCTGACCTCACCAATAATACCAGCTGCCACAGAAACCTTCTGAAGCTGGGACAGGGAAGACAATTCCAAGAGCTGTGGGAAGTGCTTTCTCCCTGGACTGGATGGCATTGAGGTTGGAAATCATCCTTGTGCCTCTCCTGTTGCCATCCAGGACTAAGTCATTGTTCCCTGAGTGGCTGCAGTTCCCTGAGTGTGGAGGGAAGAAGCCTGTGCTGGAGAATGGGAGAAAGGTCCCTGCTGGTTGCTGTGTCCTCAGAACTCTGGCCAGATGTGTTGGTGAGTATGGAACGAATCCTGCCTCCTTTTGGCTGAATTTTTGTCATCAGTCATCAGCAGGGACTGCTTCTAGCCAGCTTTAATTCCATTTCTTTTTCACAAATTTCTGGTTGTTTTGATCTTGAAATTGCCGAATCCTTAAGTTTACTGAATTAACCCTGGAAAGGTTCTACAAGCCAATGCTGAGGGAATTGGGGATTGGATAGTTAGGATCTTACGGCCCTTCAAGGGTTGGGTTCACCCCCTGGTTTTGGTGCCAAGGGAAATCCAAGTTAACACTGATCAAAATAGGAAGCAGTTCTCTCATGAAAGTCAGCTTTCCAAATCTCTGTTCAGGATCCAAAAAAGATGGGAATGCCCTTGGGAAAAAAGTGCCTTTGAGAGAAAGTGAGCTTAAAATGCCTTTAAGCAGGAAATCCAGGAGAAATGGCTGCTGGCTCCTGGCATCCTGGGCTTGCCAGGCAGGTTCTGTACTTGATTGCAAAGCAGTTTTCCTGCCTCTGCAGGGGGTGGGAGAAAAATATTCCCCTCCTTCCCTGACACAGCCCTGGAGTGGGAGCAGCTTGCCCTTAACCTGGAGTTATCCTGCTCCTGCCCAGGATCCCTCTGGTATCATGTGCTTCCCAAGCTCCCAGCACTGATGGATCTAAACAAGGAGAACAATACCTGTTCCTTCTCTTCTCCATCCTCCGTGTTCCCAGGCCCTGCGTCTCCCTGGCTATTCCCTGTCCTCATCTCCATCCCACCTTCTCCTGGTCACATCTGGGGGGCCTGAGATGTGTTTAGCAGCAAATCCATTCCTTTGAAGGAAGCCAAGTGCAAAGAGCATCCAGCTGCAGGGAAGTCTTTAGAAAAGGAATGCAGTCATGCAAAGAAGGGCTCAGTCTTCCTGCATTTCCTGTCGTTTTTCTCTGTCTGGTTTCAGAGGGTTTCTCTCCGTGCTTTCCTGTGATCCAGATGTGTCCCTTCCTTTATCCAGATCCAGTGCCAAAGCATTGAACAACTGATGAGCGGGGTCTGGGATGAGAATGGTTCTGCTAAAATTAGGCAAAGAATCCTAGAAGAAAAACGAGCTTCCTTTGAATGTCAGGAGTATAAACACTGGGAAAGGGCACTTTTTATTTGATTTGGTGCCACCTCCCCTTTTTTATGGCTAAAACTCCATGGTGAGCAATCCAAGCCAAAAGATGAAATGCAGGAGTCTTTGATTCTGCAGTGAGCTTAACTTCCTTTTTCTCCTCTCTTTCAGGACAGGGAGAACCACTGAACTTGTCCTGGCCTTGCCCAGAGCTTTGGTGTTTGGGCTGCCAAACCCAAACTGGTCCTGCCCTGGTAGGTCACAGGTTCCTCCTCTCCTCTCTGCTGTGACAGGCTCTGTAAGGAATGCCATTTCCAGCAGCCTGGTTTGCTGGAAAAGGGGAAGGAATAGGAAATATGGTGCCAGAGCTGTGTTCCACCAGGTTTTGTTTCCTTCCCTCTGAGGACAGAGAGTCTCTGGGCTGAGGTGAGATTGCTGGGAGTGTTTAGTGAGCAATCCAGGGAGCAGGAGGAAACTCGGAACTGCAGCTGCTGCTGGAACCTTAGGTCTCCTTAGGTTGCAAATATCAGCTCCTACAGTCCCAGAGCAATGAGGGGGGAAAAGAAACGTGCAATTCATGGCAAAGCTTTGATTATTCCTTGTGCAGTGACTGTCCAATATCTTTCTGACAAGAGATTTAGATGAAGGAGTTAAATTTGGGTCCATTCACTACAAAATCTTGCCAAGCCTGAAGGCCTGGGCTGATGACTGCTCTCATCACCCTCTGCCTTTATTAATCCTCTGTCAGATTTCCCTCAGTGCTGGGCAGGAAAAGTGAGGGTTTGGATCAGGAATTCTGCGAGCAGGGCCTGTGTGATCCTCTGCTTCCTGTGTGTGTCAGTAAGCCAATATCAGGAGCAAAGGTTGGTTTGGTTTTAAGAACTTCAAGTAACTTTAAAACAAAATAAATCAACTTTAAAATTTTTTTTTTATTTTATTTTAGGTGCTGGAACTGCCTCTCTGGATGTGTGCTCAGCTCTCGCTGCTATGGACTGTGTGGTCTTAATTGCTGCAGGGTTCTGTTTTTCTCACTGGGAAATTGAAAATATTTATTAATTAGAAGGCAGAGATGTTTTTGGAAACCTCTGTTCTGTTCTTCTCACTGGGGAATTGGAAATATTTATTAATTAGAAGGCAGAGATGTTTTTGGAAACCTCTCCCTTTTTTCTGCCTTTTAGTGGTAGATCTTCTCTTTCTACCTCTGAATTTACAGTGATTCTCAGATGTCATTTCACCTGCCCAAACTCCTCGTAGCTCAGGGGGGTGCAGGGAAGGTGCTAATCTTTTGCCATGTGTGTAGATGTGTAACCACTTAGCAGATAATCTCAGATTCTGTAAAGACAGACATTCATTTTAAAACCAAACTCCTGCTGCTGGGAAGCTGTGATCAGTTTATAATTTAGCTTTATCTCAGAGATACCAGATTTGTGTAAATCAGAATAGCCCCAACTTCCTTGCAACCCAGAGCATCAGTGTCATCTGACTGAGCTTCTCTGCCCCTGCCACCACAGGGTGACTGTCCTCCCTCTGGACAGCCAGTGCATCAATGAGGCAGTGGAAGGTGAGATGATAGAAACCAATCTGCCTCTCATTAGTGGGATGAATAGAAGTGTTCTGGGGAGAGGGATGGATGAGGGGGTGAGGAGATGTGTTAAGAACTGGTTTAAAGAGGGATAAGAGAAGGATGCTAATTCTCTTTTGTCAGATAGATTGGAATAAGCTTTGGAGGACTTTTGGATGATGGTGTCTCAAGTGAACAGTGTCATGTGCACTCTGAGTACAAACACTGCTCAATAAAACGAGCTTGGGAAAAGTTTTGTGTGTATTGTGTTTGCTGGATTCCCAGACGAAGGAAGGAATGATGAATCTGACTCCATGTTCTCAGAAGGCTAATTTATTATTTTGATACTATATTATATTAACGAATACCATACTACACTAAAGAATACAGAAAGGATACTTACAGAAGGCTAAAAAGATAAAAATGAAAACTCGTTGCTCTTTCCAGAGTCTGACACAGCTTGGCCCTGATTGGCCATTGAGTCAAAACAATTCACATGAAACCAATTAAACAACCACCTGTTGGTAAACAGTGTCCAAACACAAACCAGCAAAACACAGGAGAAGCAAATCAGATAATTATTGTTTTCCTTTTTCTCTGAGGCTTCTCAGCTTCCCAGGAGAAGAATCCTGGGCAAGGGGATTTTTCCAGAAAATATGGCTGCCACATGTGTGATGCAGGTGCCTTTATGTTTTTAGAGATTTCAGAGAGTTTTCAAATAAGAACCACACATTTTCCTAAAATGAGCATGGGTGTTTGTAGTTGCACTGGAACTGAGCTGCTAAAGACACACAAATATTTTGTAAGCATAAAATATGTGTGTAATTTATGTTTGCCTGTGCTCAGGCACACACAAGGCCACACAAAGAGCAGGAGTGACACTTGTACATAATTATTTCCCTTTTTCCTACTAGACAGCATATTCATTACTGTATTTGTAGCCCTAATTAATCACAAGGAGGAAAAAGCAATTTGCCTTACAAGCAGAAACAAAGATGAGGAAATGTTTCAGTCTGGATGCAGTGAGGTGTTGAAGCAGTTCTGGAACAGGCAGTGTGGATAAAAGCAGAGGTTTCTTCCCAGGCCTGAGCACCTTGCATTTCTCACAGTGCTCCTTCAGGGACTGGG